TCCCTCCGCCGACTCACCGTCGCCATAAGACCCTGGCTCGCAATACGACGCGCACCATCATCGCTCGAACCACGCAATGACTAAGACACAGACTACACCTCACCCTGATCCTCAAGATCATCACTTCCGCTGCTGCTGTTTAACGCATCAATCGGCACCACGTGGCCGAAGAAGTCAGGCGGCCGCCGATTACGCTGACCTCGGCGCACCACCCTTTCGCCGCTGTCGCTCTCAGACCGGCCGCATTCACCACCCGCATCATCAGCCTCCTCCACCGGGCGCCCCGGCGCGCCATCGCCCTCATAACCGAATGTCATGACGATCGGGGACCCGGCACGGTCCTCCTCCGCTTCCTGTGGGCCCCCGCTGCCCCGGTCGGGGGTCCGAGGGCCTGCTGCTGGTCCCCCGGTGTCACCGCAGTGGCGGAGGTCTCTGATGTGCCAAGGCACGCCGCCCACTTCAACCACCTGCGGCGACACCACGCCAGACACCGTTCCTCGAACCGACCGCTCGGTGCAGCGGGTGCCCGGCCGCCTCACCCACACGGCGTCCCCCACCTGGAAGTCGCCCTCCCGCCGGGCTGGCGGCCGTCCTATCACGGCCTCCTCGGACGCTCCGGCGGTAGCTCTTTGTCTCACGGCGTCCCTCACAGGGTAGCGGTAGATGCCGTTGGCGGGCGCCTCAGCCGCCGTCCCGCCGTCACGGGGCGTGATATTGTACAGGTGCACGGCCTCTCCGATGCCACACTTCTTCCGCGCCGCGATCACTTTGACACTGCGGTGGTTCCGCTCCACGATGGAGTTCCCGCTGGGGCGATGCACTGCGCGGAAACGCAGCAGCACTCCCCAGCGGGCAGCGAAAGCGGCGAACTGACGACTGCGGAAAGCGGTGTCGTTGTCCGCCAGAAGCTCAGCCGGTGCGCCTCGCTCCGCGAACACTTGTTCGAGTTCACTCGTGACTGTCGCCGCGTCCGACCGCCGCAGCAGCCTCCACACACAAAACCGTGACGGGCCACAGTCTATCACCGACAAGTAGGACTGACCACCGTAGTGCGTGACATCGATGGCCAGCCGGTCCCACGTCCCCTCCACAGCCAGCGACCCGTGCCTCCAGGTCACCGGCGCCGGGTCAACCGCGCGGCAGACGTCACAGGCCGTCACCACTTCCCTGACCACTTTCCGGGAAATCGACGATGACACATCCCGACGCGCGAAATACAGCGTTCGTCGGACACCCGGGTGACCCGCCCTGACATGTACGTCAGTGACGGCCTGTCGGAAGTCCACGGTAACGGCGCCGCCGCCGTCTCCCACTTCCGATCCAACCACTGCCGCTGCTGCCACTGGCTGTCCATCGCTCGGCCGCTGGTCCGCTGGCTGCGAGTCCTGACGCAACCACAGGGACGGCACTCGGGTCAGCGTGTCCGAACGGTTCTGAGACGAGCGGACTAGAGACACGGTGAGAGAAATGCCCAGCTCTGCGACCAGCTGCCTGATGACGTCGACCCGCCGGCGGATAAGCATCTCTCCATGTGCCTTGGTTCGCAGTCTCGCGCGCCCGCTCAGAGCGTCGCTGACCCACCGGTGAACAGTGGCGGAGTCCGTCTTCAGCTCGATGGTCTTCATGTCCCACGCCAGGGCCAGGTTGATGCCCCGCACGGCGGCGTCGAGCTCCGCCATGTTGATGTGGGTGGCCTCGTCCCGGCGGAGCCAGCACGCGTCCTCGATGACGTCACCTCCCTCGCTCTCCAGCACGACGCCGGCGGCTATCGAGCTGGCGTCCGTCCACAGTACGGCGCGGTGTCCAGTCACGCACCACTGCCCACGGGCCGGGTCCTCGCTCGCCAGTCGCTCAGCCACGTGCTTCAGCTGTTCCCGCAGGGCCGCGTCGTGTGTGACGTCATCCCACCCGCGTGTGAGAGAGTTGACACGACGCTTCAGCCACGCTGTCGCTGGTCTCAGCCAACCGCAGACCGGCAGGTGCGCCACGATACGACCACACCATGAAAACACGGAGCGCCGCGTCATTGCCGCGGGCGGTGAGCCGACTGGGTTGTCACGCCTCCAGGCCAGCCCACCCCCGACTGGCTCCACACGCAGTCCCAGCAGCCGCGCTCCGTCCGCAGCCCGCTCCGGCGGCTTACACTGGAGCCCATAGCTCGCGAAGTGGGCGATCACGCGCTCCGCGCTCACCACGTCCTCATTGACGCACAGATCGTCGACGTACGGTATGACGGCGCCCTGCATCACTGGGTCCTGTTGCAGCACCGTCCGCACCACCGCCTTCATGATGAGAGGCGCGACGTTGAGCCCGAATCCGACACGGGTAAGAGCGTACCTTTGGCCATCAATCACGACTGTCTGAAACGGCCACAGCCGACGATCGGTCCTGAGCTGCAAGTACGCCCTCTTCAGGTCGACGACGGCGACGTTGGCCCCGTGCCGCCGCCATTTCCTCAGCGTGTCGGCACATACGTCAGCGTCGGCCGTGTGTGCCTCCACATGGCTGTTGAGCTCGCGGCAGTCTAAGACTGGTCGTACTTTAGTCTTGTTCTGCTGTTCAACAGCCATGAGAGGGATCAGCCCGCGCGGCGGCCCGTCCACCGTCTCGTCGTACGGCTCCAGCCAGCCGTTGTCGATCCATGTACGGAGTTCAGCATCAAACTCCTGCCGTGCCTCGGCCGGCACGCCGTACTGGGGGACACCGTTCCTCAGGCACCCTGGCTCCGCCCCGTTCCGCCACTTCCACGCCACCGTCCAGTGTTGACTTTTCGCGTCATAAGTGACCGTGAAGTCTCGCTCTTCCACGGTCAACGCCGGGGGCGTCACGGCGCTGCATCGCGGCGGCACCCCTCCCGGGCCCGGCACGGCCACGTCGGGCCTCTCGCTGGCACCGAACACCACATCGTCCGCCGCCCGCACTGTCACCCCGCCCAGCGCCGCGATGCCGGTCATCCCCACCAGCATATCCACGCCCAGTGGTTTGTCCGGCACTACCACGGCGCTGAGCGTCACCGCGGGCCCGCCGCTCTTCAGCTGAACCGCCACCTCCGTTACTCCGCTGCTTGGCAGCCGGGACCCGTTGACGGCCATTACAGTCACGCCGCACCGTCTCCAGCTCGCGCAGCACGACTCGTGGATGATGGTGCAGCTGCAGCCCGAGTCGATAACAGCCACTCTGCGCTGCCCATTCACCAGCAGCTGCACCGTCGGTAGCGCGCCTCTTACTCTTGGGCTGCCCGAGAGGAGGTTGGCGCAGACACCGCCTCTCCTGACGCGTTTCCCGGCATCCGTTCCGGGCAGCGTGCCGCGGCGTGTCCTGGCTGCTCGCACCGGAAACAGATGATGTCCGCTCTCCTCTCCGCCCGGCAGTCACGAGCGAAGTGACCGGCTCGACCGCAGCGGTAACACCGTGATGACGCCGGCGTGTGGCGGGAACGGGCCGGCGCAGCGGCGGCAGCGGCTGCAGCGACGGCATTCTCTGCCATCAGCGCCCGAGCCCGCTCCACCAGCTCGGCCAGCGTCAGGCTCTCCATGCGGCAGCCGGCCCTCAAGGTATGCCTCGCCGCATCCGGGAGACCGGCCACGAAGCCGCACATCAGCGCCGTGTCGCCGAGCCCGCCGAACAGGGAGGCCAGCCGCCGCAGGTCTGCCAGGTAGACGTCGACGCTCTCGCCGACACGAAGTCTTCTCGCCGTGAACTCCTCGTACGCCTGGAACTTATCCACAGCGAACGCCCGCAGCAGGGCAGCTTTGACGGCAGAGTACTGCAGCTTCTCCTCGGGCTTCAGCTGCTGGTAGACGCTGAAGGCTCCGCCGGTCAACCGCAGGGGGACGACGGTTTGAATGTCGGACACTCCGCGCAGCTGACAGACGAGCTCCGTCTTATCCAGCCACTCTTCCACAGAGGCGTTACCGCCATCGAACTCGGGGATTAGCCGCATGTCCAGCGCCGAACTTGCCACAGCGCTTTCCTGTGACATGGTTGCCGAAATAGCTTGTAGTAATGCAAAAAGTCCAGTACACTCAGATGCCTCTATTCACACCCGTACCCGCTCGTGTCCCGGAGCGCACTGCCCGGCTTCACCACATTAGCCTAGATCATACCTCTGTACACGTCATATCACGTCATATCACGTCATTCTGAACCCTAGACAAAGGCTGATCAATTTCTCCCTCCGCCGACTCACCGTCGCCATAAGACCCTGGCTCGCAATACGACGCGCACCATCATCGCTCGAACCACGCAATGACTAAGACACAGACTACAAACTCTCGGCTGATTTCACCGGCTCATGAGATGTGCAGCGGTCGTGAGCTCCGTGGGCCGCCACATTGTCCGCCCTCGGACTGCTCCGCGCTCTGCCCGCCGCTCCGGCGCTCTGTCCTTTGTTCGTCCGGCGCCGGCCAGTCGGTCGCTCTCGCCTTCGAGTTCTGTCGGCTGACGCGGCCGGCGGGGCTGCTTCTGGGAAAGGCTGCGGCCGCCGGCCGATCAGACTTTGCCGGCCGGGTGTGGGATGTGATCCGGTCACAGGCTAACTGAGCTTAGGGGCTTGGTTCAGACAGGGATGAGGGCGGGGGTCATCTGTTCGCTGCCTGGCGCTTGCACTTAGCCTTGTTTGTTTTCATTTCATATAACTGTTCAGTGCCACTGAATGACCCGTCTTTTCGCGTGTTGTCCCGTCGCTGAGGGTCCGGTTCGCGTCAGAACGCGACCGCTAATCGCCCCAACGCTCTTACGAAAACCTCGCCAGTTTCCGTGTGTTTATATTTGACTTATTCCGTATGCTGCACCAATAGCAGTGACAGTTAATCATAGCGTGCCATCATTATTCATTCGTGTAACGGGATTGTGATTTGCTCCTATATTTTTCATCCTCTCTAACAACTAATAATTGCCATTTACCTCTCAGTTAAAGACCCTGAAGACTGACCCCACTCTAAATATACATCGCATGTTGCATACCAGAGTCCCTGACCGTTTTCTCTCTTCTATTTCAGACCGTGAGGACCAGTCGATCCTCTGCACGGGAGAGTCGGGCGCCGGTAAGACCGAGAACACCAAGAAGGTCATCCAGTACCTGGCGCACGTGGCCGCCTCAAAGCCCAAGTCGTCGCACGTCTCGGTGAGTAGGGTGTCTGGAGGAAGGGGTTCCTGATTCAGCCTGGAGAGTATGGAGGGGTTAGTGGGACTCTTATAGTCGGTGTAGGTAGGTCAGCTGGGCTGGGCAGGCCTTTTACTTTACATGGTACTTTATTTTAAATCGGCCGCAGCCCACAAACCTCGTTTGTCGAACCATTCTTTCCTTCAATCTTCTCCTTTGTGACTCCGACTTAGACAAATAATAAAAAGCAATATATCTGCCCGTATGGCTTGTGATATGCATTTCTTGGTAAGCACATCTGAAGATCTCGGCACTTGACAAAATACCGGTGATATATAAACAAAATTCTTTTTTTTACATCAGAAGAGCATTACCCCTAAAGATTTCCTCGGGATGCAAAATTTAAATAAATGGCAAATGTCATGAAAATAAATTGTTCTTATTTAGGCTGTCACATCCTGCTCATGCCACGTTCCATCATATCAGCATTGATATAATCTAAAACGTGATTTGGGTAGTCTCATGACTCCCAATGCACTCGGGAATGTCAAGCCTGAGATATTTCATCTCTCCAAGGCCCGAGGCCATTTATAAGAGCGTCGTGTCACTCCCACACGCTTCCACCCACACTGGCGCTAAGGTTTCACGCCTGGTTCTGGATCGATTCTTCTCCCGGGCCCGTGGGTGGGTCGTTTATTCGCCGGATGCCGTCGGCTCGTGACCCGGCCTGTCCTGGCTGGCAGGTCGTCTGTGCCGGGCCGAGCTCCGTTTTTCTGCGGCGTTTTGTGGCCCTCTGTCCGGATCGTGCCGTCGACCGGCCATATTTGGTGCTTGGCGACGGGGTTCCGTCTGGGCAGCGGCTGAGCTTGGATAGGCTGGCCTTTCTTATCTACCAAATCTATTGGTCTGGCTGACATGAACAAGGCTAAGTTAAGCCGATCTGGGATGAGCTAAGCTCGCCTGGGCCCTAGATCTTGTTGAGTGTAGCTGAGCTGAGCTTAGCTAACTTGGTTTGGGTCATGCCGATATAGTTAGGCTAGGGGCTGAGCGGAGATGGCCACGGCCAAGCACAGCTAAGCTGGCTCATGGCTCTGGCTGGGTCGAGTTTGTACGTTTGTTCTGAAGTCGTTCAGCCTGGTCTGTCAGTATGGTCTCATATGGATTCGGCTCTGAGGGAGTCCAGTTCAGCCCTAAACCGTCACGACCATCCGTTAAACCGAGAACCGGCTCAAAGATGGATCACACATAAATTTTGTATGCTTGAATGTGTAAGATGATGTAGCCCCTCATCGCCCACCTAGAACCACCATGTGAACAGACATCCCTCTCGTAACTACCGCTAAGGGGAACATCCCGCTGATTCGCGCTGGGAACTAACATACCGCGTTAGCATCGCAAGGAGCGATATATCCAACTAACTGCCGCTGGGGCCAGCAGCGCTGGGCAGATGCTCCTAACCGCCGCGCCTCCGCGACTTACTCGTAATTATCCGCAGGCTACCCGTGCCTTTTTATTGCTGATTTTTTTTCTGGATCTAGGACAAAAGTCTTCCCAGGTGCAATGCTTCCCATTGACAATGAGTGGATCTACGGTCCTCTCGTCCAGGAAACGTGAAATCAGAGGAAGTGTGTTAGACGGGCAGGGATATAGAAAGATGAGGCAGAGGCTGTCTGCTTGCTAAAATGGGATAGACCGACGAGTTTTATGGCTACAGAGGCAGAGAGACAAATGCGGAAGAGAGAATTGAAGGATGGGACAGACAGACAGCCGGAGCTGCAGCCAGATAAGATAGACACGGGGAGGCCTCTCCGCGGGGACGGAGCCGATGCGGGGCCGGCGGGGCCGATCTGCCGTGGCTATTTCGGGCCGGCCGCACTGCGGGCCCAGTGGCGCAGTTGGTGGTGACTGCGGCTCACCATCACCTTCGTTACGTCCGGGGCTCGAGCGGGGAAGATGGACGGCAGATCCAGTAGGACGCCTCTGCAGGGGTGTTATGTAGCGGGCGGTCTATTTTTGCCGTGGCCCGGAAGGGCGTCGCCCCACCAGGACGATTCGAGGATCGACTTGACCCTGTCCCTGACAGACTGAATTTAATCTCGAGTTCAACCGGACATCGCCAAACTGGATCTATTATAGCCGATCTTCACGGACCGTTAACCTTTGCTATGGACCGGAATGGACGAAAAAATTGTTTTAGTAGGTTACTGTCTCAAAAATATGCATTCTTCTTCGTCTGTTTTGGGTTATTCGTAGATCAATCAGTTAGTAGCGAACTTAAAGCAACGCTAGTCGGATGTCTGAAAGTCAACTTCGCCTTTAGCCTCTGAACGTAGCACAACTGCCCGAATTATGCTGCGTGCCGAACAATTCTTCAGCTCTGCCCCTGTCCACCACAGTGCCTGTTATTTCCATAGTTAGGACGCCAGTCTCGGGCATGCTTTATCCGTCGGGTGGCCGCAACCGACGCATGTTTGCCCCCGATTTCACCCCCGTGTGCCCCACCCGTCTCCGCCTGCACTGGGGAGCAAGCGAGCACGACTCAATCTAGCCTCACCGGAATGTGCGGGCCCGCCCTGAGCCCTGTGTGACTCGGGCGGTCCGGCTGCGACATGTGCATGTCAAGGACCATTGCTGTACTGGTCCCGGACCGTGGTCTGTGCCGTGGCGGTCCTGGACCGTGCTGGTATGGTCCCCGGTGCAGGACCATATTCTGGCGGTCCTGGGAGGAACCGTGGTTTCCTCCCAGGACCGCTTTGGAATGGTTCTGTTCCTGCGACCATGCTACCGGTCCCAAACCCAGGACCATGCCGTACTGGTCCCGGACCCGGGATCAGACCGCAATGGTCTGGGCACACGGTCCGGCGGTCTGATGATGATCCACCGCATGAGACTAACGGGCTCTTTTCTGTCTCATTTTAGGGCAATGCTGAGCTGGTCATAGTAAGTAGAGACGACGCGCGGCTCGTGCCTGTCTGCCGGCCGACGGCCCGCCACCGCCGCCGCCTCCCATCTCTCTGTCTGTCTTGGCTGTTCTGTCACAACTTCACTCTGCCTCTCTCTCTCTCTCTCTCTCTCTCTCTCTCTCTCTCTCTCTCTCTCTCTCTCTCTCTCTCTCTCTCTCTCTCTCTCTCTCTCTCTCTCTCTCTCTCTCTCTCTCCCTCTCTCTCTCTCTCTCTCTCTCCTCTCTCTCTCTCTCTCTCTCTCTCTCTCTCTCTCTCTCTCTCTCTCTCTCTCTCTCTCTCTCTCTCTCTCTCTCTCTTGTCTGTTCTAGCTTCTTCTTTCTTGCTTTCTTTCCTTCCTTCTTTCTTTCTTTCTTTCTTTCTTTCTTTCTTTCTTTCTTTCTTTCTTTCTTTCTTTCTTTCTTTCTTTCTTTCTTTCTTTCTTTCTTTCTTTCTTTCTTTCTTTCTTTCTTTCTTCAAACTCCAAGAAATGACACGAATGCGAATGTGCTTGCTAGTTCCCACATCAGCTTTTTCTCTCAACTCTGCTTGTAAATGCATTCGCCTTGCGTCTTCATACCTACTCTTTCTCCCCCTTTTCATCCCTCCCCAATCTGCGTAGCTCTGTCTTGTGACGCCCTTTTTTCTGTCGTGCGCGGATCTCTCGTTTGTCCCATCGGTTTTGGGTCTCGATAGAAGCCGTGTGAGGTGATCTTCTCACCACCCTCTCCTCTCGGTGTATCTTTCTGTCACTTTGTGATGGTTTTATTCTTCCTACTTATGTTTATGGTATTTGTGAACAACAATAGTAGTGCTGATATCATTATATTCCACATACCGTAACACTTCTTTATCATACATTGCCACAATAAATCATGAAAAGCCTTATTGGGCCACAACGCAGCACAACACACCATGCCATTACAGACACCATTTCATAGACAGCACAACGCTCTATCAGTCCAATCATACATATTGTTGCCGACATAAATGTTGGGGAACAACACTTCCTCCACCTCCACAACTCTGCATGCTTTGTGCAACTTTTGTGGTTTTATTTTCCCGTTTTGTTGACATTACCACTCTGACCTGTAACGCTCAAGTAGATAGGTCTTTGGCCGATTAACTAAAAACCTGTAGCATTGTTTGCACCTAACGAGCTTTAGCCACTTTAGTTTAGCCACTTTGATTGACACCAAAACCTTGACTGTGCACTTTGCAAAACGCGAGTAGAAACTAATAGAATTGCACTGTTTTAACCAACAAAAGGTGTGACAATATTGTAATAAATAACAGCTTAAGTTATTCATTACACGGCGGTGTGACTGAAATGCACTAACAATATTGTATCTTAGAAGAGACTGAGCTGTCCTGTGGTGCAATTTCAATTCAGGTACACAATTGCTTTCTTTTTCTTCAAGCCAGTTATGTAGCTCTGCTCCCGCGTTCGTAATTGATCCGCATCCTGCTCCTGGGCGATTTTTTTTTTAAGCCGCCGCCCAAGGAAGCTTCTCCTAGATACAGACCCCAAAAGCATCTGTAGAAACGGTCTCAAGGCTATACAACTGCTCCAGGATACCCCAAAGTTTACTCAAACCCCACCCTAAGTCATCGTATCCCGTCTCAACTGTCCGTCGTCCCAGCTGTCAATTAGTATTGTCACCACACCCTGTGAGTCCCTGTGAGCATTAACGGTTACCATCTTCACTCAGTGATGCCCCCGCTTGAGTTCCTGTGCTCCCAGCTACTGTTGTTTCGCTCAGCGACGCCTTATGAGCTCCTGCGCTCTCTCGGCCGCTGTTATTCGCTCAGTGACACCTATGAGTTCCTGCGCTCTCGTTCGCTCAGTGACGCCACCCTATGAGTTCCTGCGCTCTCCCGGCCGTTGTAATTCGCCCAGTGACGCTCTGTGCCTGTCGGCGGTGCACTGATTGTTGCAGGACACGCGGATACTGTCGGTACGTTACTGTGAGACGACGCGACCATACGGGTGATGGGAGCATCGTTTGTGTGTCTGTGTGTGCGTGTGTTTGTGCATGCTACTAGTGATGGATGCTACTGGATGTCGTGGAATTGATGTGAGATTGACCGCATGGATCCCCAGGCCTAGAGACGGTCATGGCGACGTGTGGAGTAACCGTGAGACTGACTGCATTGTGGGGTAATGTGTAGAGTGGACGATGAAATTGATAAGCTGCATGGTGCCGACTGCCGATACATATTTGGGGTTTTAGAGAGGCTTTATCGCGAAGATGCATTGTACTCGGCAGGATATGCAGTGTAGGTGTGTGTGTGTGGGGGGAGGGGCATGTCATGACAGACTGAAAGCATGGAGTATGCAACATGGTGTGAAGAATGCCGTGACAGACTTACCGAGTGCATGGTGCCGATGTATGCAGTGTGATCTGCAGCAACTCCAACTGACCGGGGCCGTCGCTGCAGTGTCGTGGCATGGTGTTTGTGGTTGTAGACTTGCCTGTGCCACCGCTCCGGCATCTTGACGCCGACAGTAAGAAGAGCAGATCCAACATTGTTTCCCTTTTGGGTGGTACCTTATAAGTGCAACCCTGTGTTTGCTGTCAGTTTTAGAGCCGTGGCATGACTGGTTTAGTACCTGTGGTCTATATATGGCCTTGACCTGTGGCCTGCGTTGTGTATCTTCTCCCCACGTTGTGATGGTTCTCGGTGTGATAACGTCGGCGAACCCGTTGTTTTATATTTCCGCGGATCCGGAGTTGTGACGAACCTCAGCCTTATGCTGGCCGCCTTTAGACTGTGATGGCTGTTCGCTGCCTATGATCCGTATTGTAGACTGTGGACTGCCGCCAGTGACGTCCAATGTCTGACCCTGGCGCCGTCTCGTCGCCCGCTGCATGCCAGACTGCACGTTTGTGCCTTGCTGAATGACTCCCTGAGCGAGTCCCCTCCCCCGGGTCCCTATGCACCGGGGGCGAAGGATCAGCTAGCGAATAGTAAATCATGCAGCAACTTGTGCTTACATTTCTTATTTGCGGTTACGTAAGCCCTCAAATTCTGTCCTCGAATGGTCAAAGGTATCCGCCATTTGTTGTTTTCGTCAAAATGATTATTCAAAATGACCAGCATCTGTGATCCGACTGTCCTTGGGAGAGTCGTTATTTAATCCGTGAAAATGACTAGCGTCTTAGCGTCTTTGAGAATCCCGCCCTATCGCTATTCATTACTGTGTGTTGCGTGTCACTGGTGTCGTTCTCTGACCTCTGTCTATGACCTCGACCAACAGGGCGAGCTGGAGCAGCAGCTGCTGCAGGCCAACCCCATTCTCGAGGCCTTCGGAAATGCCAAGACCGTCAAGAACGACAATTCGTCCCGTTTTGTGAGTGGTCTGGATCAGTCTGTGCTAGACGGCAGATTCATACGATACGTACCGTGTGTCTCCTATATCAGACCATTCTGGGCGTCCCCAGGCTAGATTATCCATGTATAGCCCGCTTACATCAGACTGTGTCTGTGTAGTTGAAAGCTTATCATCAAAGCTTAGCATTGATTCAATAACTTATTTCTGTTTGAAGTTAGCATGATTGGTGGAGGCAGGTATTTTCACGTTGCTTGATGTCAGAGAGCTTATTTTATTAGTTTCCTAGCCGCCTGATATTTCTGACGTTGGGCGTGCCATGACTGTGATCCCCTCCCCCTCGCGCAGGGTAAATTCATCCGGATCAACTTCGACGCATCCGGCTTCATCGCGGGCGCCAACATCGAGACGTACCTGCTGGAGAAGTCGCGCGCCATCCGGCAAGCTAACGATGAGCGCACGTTCCACATCTTCTACCAGCTGCTGGCCGGCGCCTCGGAGGCCCAGAAAAGTCAGTCGGATGGAGGGATCGTCGGAGTGTTTGAGCTGGGGAAGGGGAATGGGCTGATTGAGTTGGAGGAAGGGGAATGGGCTGATTGAGTTGGAGGAAGGGGAAGTGGACTGATTGAGTTTGGGGAGGGGGAATGGGTTGATCGGGTTGAAGAGTGAAAGGAGAGTGTCGGGCTTGAAAGGAGCAGAAGGCAAGCTGATAGATGTTTGTGGGTGGAATATAGAGAGAAGTGATTGCAGGCTGTCAGGTTTGTTTTAGCTAAAAACGTGACGGCTTTTTTAGCTGCCTTCCCGTCGTCCCTTGAGCTTTATTAGTGATGTAGTCTTGTGATTAATGTGCTACAATAACTGACCGTCGGACGTCTGTTCTCGCCCACAGAGGAGTTTCTGCTGGAGCAGCCCAAGAACTACTCGTTCCTCACCTTCGGCAACGTCTCGGTCAGCGGTGTGGACGACGCGCACGAGTTCAAGGCCACCGTGGACGCCATGCATATCATGGGCATGAACCAGGACGACCTGCAGTGTGAGTTTATGGAGTGGGGAGGAACTAAAATGTGGATCGAGAAAGTCTCACCCTATCGTACCTATTCCACCCTTTCCCCTATCCCACCCTATATGGGAAGAAGAGCTGTTTGTTCTGTGGGTTAGTAGCAGTGGCTGGGTATGAATCGATAGCTGACGGAGCGAGCTTGGGGGCCTGGTGGTATGCTCTGTAGAATGGGCAATGTAAGGATAGCATAAATACGCCATTGAATGGGAAAATCTGTACTGTTCAGTGCCGCTATGTCACCAGTCATGATTGGGTTAGCAGGCTCCGGTAAGCTACGGCAATGTGAGCTGACACTAAAGCCGTGGCACGTTAGTCAACTGTTGCCATTCTGGTATGGATTACGTATCGGCGTACAGTCGGGCTGTTTTGGCACTGACGCCGTCCGATTGTATATCGTCACTGCTGGCGATAATGTGTCAAAACTCAAAACCCCAGCTGTTGATAGTGGGAGAGATTGGTTCACCGCGCTGAACTCCTCTATGGCCCTTGCGCCTTGCCTTGCGTTCTACTTTATTCCTGCTGAACAAATCTTATGTAGTAAACGCCTTATGTCCACATTGCCGTAGTATTGCCAGCTGCCTCCGTCGCGCGCCGGCCCAGACTGGCCGGGGGTCGTACGTGACCCACCTTTTATTCAACAGGTTACGAAACGTCTAGAACACGCCCAAAACGAGTGCTAACTTGCACAGCAGCGACGAGGTGACGGAAGGCGCCAGCTTGGCGGCCTACGTGCCTTAAATGACATATCTTAAATTTATAATTGCGCTGCGCGTGCCGCCGGCCGTCTCCTCCCGGCCCCGCCCGGCACATTGCCATATAACTCATCCCGAGCCTGGACGGGGCGGCGGCGGCGCCGCAGTGGCACGGCGGCCACAAGATTCTAATACACTCCCCCCTGATCTACAAATCATCGTACTGGGTCAGAACGGCAGGGCGTCTCTCCCGCATGCCGCGGCGTAGAACTTCAGCGTACGTCACAGGGGGCACATTTTCCCCGTGGCTTTCGTGCGCACACTCTCGCAAGATAATTGGGCCAGAGTCGTCATTGTCATTGTTCGGCGGCTCAGTCTGGCCACTCTCCGGACTGGGAACGAAAGCCAGTCTCAGATCTCTCACGTGACGGGGGACATTGTCTACTTCCACACACTGCGCCGACACTTGTCGGGTGACTGTTCCTATGGAACTTGGCACATCACACCGGCGACTAGGGTCTCTGATCCATACCTTATCGCCTACACTGAACATAGCACACTCACTCTCTTCGCACTTTTCCTCACTCTCCACGTCCGGCACTCTCAGTTTGTAGTTGAACAGTACGTTGGCAGGACTAGAGTTCAGGTCATCACTGCGCGGCATCACATTATAGCGGTAGACTGCTTCCGCCACTGAGCAGCCTTTGCGCGCTACGATTGTTTTGACCGACCTATGGTTTCTCTCAGAGACACCATTGCCGAACGGCGCATGGGCAGCTCGGTACCGGACGCTGACACCCCACCGGCTGACGAACTCGTGGAATGCGGCACTGCGGAATGAGGTGAAGTTGTCCGTCAGCAGCTCCCTCGGAGCGCCGCGCTCCAGGAATACCGACTCCAGAGCCGTGATGATGCTGTCGGTGTCCTGTCGCTTTATCCGCCGCCAGATCGCGTACCGAGACGGACCGCAGTCAATCAGAGTCAGGTACAGCTGATCGCTTACGTGACAGACGTCCATGCTGATCCTGTCCCAGCATTTAGTCACGCTCAGCGAACCATGTGTCCACCGCTGGGGCGCTGGATCGATGGACTGGCACCTTTCGCACTGGCTTACGACACTGCGCACCTGGTGCCTGCTCACAGCCGGGTCGTGCTCCCTACACAGGCGCAGCGTTCTCCCGATGCCTGGGTGTCCGCTTGTTTCATGGATCCTGACCACATCCGGCGCCGAGAAGGCAGCGCCGCAGACCTCAGGATCGCTTTGTTGGTTCAGCCACTTCTTCGGCACTCTCGTCAGTGCGTCAGCCCTGTTGTCCACTGACGGAACGCACTTCACGGTCAGCTGGAGGCCGTACTCATCTCTCAGACTCTTCACGGTCTCCAGGCGCCTTCTAATCAGCATTTCACTCGCCGCCTTCGTCTTTATCCGAGCTCTGCCGGAGAGCGCATCTGTTAGCCAGTGATAGACCGTTTTCGAGTCCGTCACGACAGTCACTTTCTTCAGGTTCCATGCCAGGGACAGATTGATGCCACGCACAACGGAGTCCAGTTCTGCAAGGTTCACGTGTGTCTCGGGATTTTTCCGAAGCCAGCAGGCGTCCTCAACGATGCTGCCTTCCATCTCCAGCACGGCTCCTATGGCGAGGGAGCTGGCATCCACCCACACGACTCCCTCATCGCCGGTGACATCCCAGCGACCTCGTGCGGGATCGGCCGTTTTCACGCGCTGCAGCGTTTCCATGACCATTTTCTGGAGTTCTGGATCGGTGATCTCGTCATCCCAGCCGTCTGTCGCTGCAGTGGCGCGTCTTTTCAGGTAGGATGCGGAGACACGCAACCAGCCACACACCGGGACCTGACTTGTCAGACGTCCACACAGCGAGAAGACCTTTCTCCTCGTCAGCTGTGGCGGCGGCTGTAGATCCTGGTTGTCCCGCTTCCAGAACAGTCCTTGCCGCTCCCCCCAGACTCGAATGCCCAGGACACGAGCACCTTCTGACACCTTCTCCGGGGATTTGCAGGTCAGACCGAGCGCCTCCAGATGACCCTTCACCTCCAATGCAGTAGCGATGTTTTCATTTACGAGTATGTCGTCCACGTAAGGTGATGTAGCGGTGTGCACCCTCGGGTCACGTTTCAGGGCCATTTCCAGCACCTTTCTCATCACCATCGGTGCGAGACTGAGCCCAAAGCCAAGTCTGCTGAGACACCACCGTCTGCCCTGGAACACTACAGTCTGATACGGCCACAGCGATGCGTGCACGTGGATCTGCAGGTAAGCGTCTCGCAGATCTAGGAGAGACACGTTTCGTCCACACCGACGCCACTCACGGATTTTTTCACTGCAAACATCCGCGTCAGCTGTATGCGGGTCCAGGTGCGTATTTAACTCCCTGAAATCCATGACGGGACGCACTTTGTCCTTCTTCGGTTGGATGACCGCCATGAGCGGGATCGTGCCTTTGACCCTCCCGTGCACGCTCTCATCATAAGGGACGAGCCATTGATTCGCCACCCACTTGGAGAGTTCTCGCTCGTATTCGTGTCGGGCTTCTGTTGGAATCGCGTACTCTTCTGCTGTATTGTGCAGCTGCTCGGGCTCCTTTCCTCCACACCATTTCCACTCCACCAACCACTTCTTTTCTGTCTCGTCAAAGCTCACCACAAAGTCCTTCTCGTCGGCTCGATTAGCCGGTGCGGCGGCCGCCGCCGCACCCAACACCGGATCCCCCTTACTGCTGTAAGCTCGATTCACTGCTGCAGCTGCCGCCGCTGCACCTGACGCTGGGGCCGCCTCACTGCTCGCCTGATCATGACTCACCCGTGCAGTCGCTGCCACTGCACGCGAAACCCCAGTCCTCTCACCATCACAGCTGACCCGGTCACCGGGTGAGGCCACTGACGCCGCTATATGAGACACCGCTGCCTCAACTCCGAATCTGACTCGGTCATCCGAACTCACTGTAGCGCCACCCAGTGCTCTGATACCATTCATCCCAAGGATGAACTCAAACCCCAGTGGCTTACGTGCTACGACGAGCACATCTACGGACACTGATTCACCGGACCGCAGCTGCACGCGTGCCACGCCTGACCCCTCACACCAATAACGCCCTCCACTCACTGTCATCACGCTCACCGGGCGTCGGTTCCACCTCCGACAAACTGACACGTGAGCTACACACTGGCTGCATCCTGTATCAACCAGCGCTTCGCAGCTGGCTCCGTCCACCGACAGCTGCGCGACTGGCAGCGCCCCGTTCACTGGGCGACAGGAGAGGAGGCTGGCGCTGATCTCTCCCCTCCCGCGTCGTTTTCCGGACACGCAGAGGCGATGTGCCCCTGCCGGTTGCAGTTGTAGCACCTCACGAGGCTCCGTCCACCACGGGGGCCTCCACGGTCCCGCTGTCCGCGGCCTGCCGTGCAGTCGCGGGCGATATGGTTCGGTTGCCCGCACGAGTAGCATTTCATTGTGGCCGGGAGTGCTCCAGTCCTTGTGCCAGCGGCGGCGGCCGCGGTGTTTGTTTCCTCGTCGGCCAGCACGGCCCGAGCGCGACCGATTAGCTGGCTAAACGGCATGTCCTCCATCCGCGATCCAGCCCGGAGCGCGCGGCGTGCTGAATCTGGCAGTTTGGCCACGAAGGCACAGGCCAGGCTGTCGTCCGGCATACCTCCGAACAAGCCAGCCAGCCGGCGCAGTTCAGAGACGAACACGTCCACCGTCTCACCTGGACGCAGCCTTCTACGTTCAAATTGGTCGTAGGCTTCAAACCGATCCGAAGCAAACGCCGATGTCAGGGCCCTTTTGATGTCCTCGTACTTCTTCTTCTCATCTTCTCCGAGCTGTTGATATACCGCAAAGGCACCACCAGTGAGTCTCAGCGGGACGACGACGTGCAGTCCCTTGATGCCGCGCAGCTGACACACAAGTTCGACCTTGTCCAGCCACTCGCACACGGGCTGCGACACACCGTCAAACTCCGGGATTAAGCGGAGATCAGCCGCAGCGTCCGAACCATCACAGGTCTCCTTCTCGTTCCCCATCACGGCAGTCTTGCAAGGCCGAAATAGCTTGTAGTAAACGCCTTATGTCCACATTGCCGTAGTATTGCCAGCTGCCTCCGTCGCGCGCCGGCCCAGACTGGCCGGGGGTCGTACGTGACCCACCTTTTATTCAACAGGTTACGAAACGTCTAGAACACGCCCAAAACGAGTGCTAACTTGCACAGCAGCGACGAGGTGACGGAAGGCGCCAGCTTGGCGGCCTACGTGCCTTAAATGACATATCTTAAATTTACAATTGCGCTGCGCGTGCCGCCGGCCGTCTCCTCCCGGCCCCGCCCCGCACAATGCCATATAACTCATCCCGAGCCTGGACGGGGCGGCGGCGGCGCCGCAGTGGCACGGCGGCCACAAGATTCTAATACATCTTACCTGAAGCCTTTTGCACTAAAATATCTGACAAGGTAGACTTCGCTCACCGACTCTCACTAAATTCGCTCTCTCACTTCCTGATCCCCTGACTCGCTATCGTAACTGACTTCTGATACCCTAATCCGACTAAATCCCTCCGTGACCACTCCCCTCCCCCTCCTTATGTCTATGCCATTGCCCCATAATCGGACAAACGCTCGAATCTGCCAGGCCCACTCGATATCATGGCTAAAAGGTCGTATGGGGCCCGATATATACACACAGGACAGCAAGCAATAAGAAGTGCGATGGTGTTGTTTGACTAATTTATCGCCTCCCAGCCCCGACCGGCCGGCTGGCGTGGTCGTGGTGGGCGTTTATGGTTGGGTCAGGGGGGGGGGCAGGTGTCGAGCAGGGGGGGGGGGCGCTATCGGTGGACACGACGCTGGCCGATAAGGGCTTTCCTCCTCCCCCTCCCCTCCCTCCCCCTCGGTTTGGGTGGGATTTGTTATAGATGGGACCGGGCATAGCTCCCCTTCCGCTCCGGCGGCTCCGCCCTCTACTTGAGACGGTCGGGTTAGACTGAAGTGTCCGCTATCGGTATCTTAACTCGTGTCTGGTATATGGCCGGTACTCCGTCGCTGCTTCCTTAGCGGTCGATGGCCGTATCAACTATCAATGGTGGGCTCAACTTGGATGTTTGGGGGTGGCTGAACGTTAAAAGTAATAATTTTTCTGGCTTGACTATCATGCCCAGAACATACAAAGCGAGCCTTCTCTTGGGGAACTTTTGTTAATGTATCTCCACTTCCCAACCTCTTTGGTTCCACTTGAGGGCCGTGCCCAGCTGATTTCGTGACTCGTCGAGCGGAGTGGCGTCCACCGGTGGACTTTGGTCCGTGACTCACTGTCGGGTCGATGTACCGAGTTGGGGCGGTGACATCAGCTGCCGAGTGGGTCTCAGAGTAACCAGGGTCCCCACGGGCCACCGTCGGGCTCTGAGTTCAACGAGAATGCATGGGCGAACGGTCGCACCGCTTTATGGATCAGGGATGATGATGTTTACTGTTAGGCGGCAGTATCGTGAGAAACTATTGGCGCCGATGACCACTGTAGTCCGGGCGCCCAAAAACCCCAATTCATCATCATCCTGACAGACTTATTGTCAGTATTCATCCATCTGACCGTGCATTTCCGTCTGTCCGATAAATCCGACTATCCGTCTGATCTGCCTAGTTACCCCACCTATCTTCGATGGACCTGTCTTCTCTCCTGTTCACTCATCTCACCCGCCTTACCGCGTCTTTCGGTCCTCTTGTTCGACTTACCTTGCCCCGTCTAACCCATTTTACTCTCTTCTGTCCGTCTGATCTGCCTTACCAACCTTTCTGTCTGTAACCCATGTCACCCCGCCTGACAGTGGCCTATTCCTCTACAATTTACAGCTTACCCAACTGACACACACTTGTATTCCACCTGATCCATCTTACCCTGCCCTTCCATCTTCCTGACCGTGTTTTCTCTGACCCGGCAGCCATCTTCCGTGTCATCTCGGCCGTGCTGCAGTTCGGCAACATGAAGTTCAAGCAGGAGCGGAACTCGGACCAGGCCACCCTGCCCGATAACACGGTGGCGCAGAAGGTACGTGATGCACTCAGCTGACTGCTGTCTGTGGCTGCTTACAAATGAAGGTCGCCGGTCGTGGTTACGGGAAGACATTGGGGATCGGCACCGGGCTCAGTCTCTGGGCTGTCGGGATTTGTGTTTTTGGACAAGGTATTAGCGGCTAGATTGTTTACTGCATACTCGTATTTAGAGATGTGAAACATAATAAAGACAGCTAGCGTCTGTCAGGAACTTTGCTCACAGAGTGGAAAATGCATTGGTGTTTGTGGTGCTGTGGTCACCACTGAAAACTCCGCTTGGTATGCTCGTGTTCTTTCTGTCCCTGCCCACTGCTTCTATGTGACGTCTGACTGACTTCCCTCTTCGCCAGGTGTCCCACCTGCTGGGCCTGAACGTCACCGAGATGACCAAGGCCTTCCTCAAGCCCAAGATCAAAGTGGGACGCGACCACGTCACTAAGGCGCAGACCAAGGAACAGGTACGGTACAGTGACGCCGCGCCGGCGTCGGTTGGATGGGACTGTAGCTGCTGTGGTTGTGCTAGATTCCATCATGTCTGAGGTGAATGTAAGATATTTGCCGTGCTTTTCAATGATTGGCTCACTGTGGTCATGAAGGTCGGTGATCAAAGGCTCATGAGCCTTTGATGGTCAATAGGTATCTTGTCTGTAATTGCCGATAGCCGATTCGTAATATGGCCCATATCTGACCTTTCTAGATCAGCGTTTGCGTTGTGATAACCATTGTCTGACCTTAGATGATCGCTTTGGCCTTTAATAATAACCATTGTCCCGTCTTTGATGCCCACTGTCCGCCCTTTGATGACCAGCTCCTGACAGTGACGACCCGCGCTGCCCCACAGGTGGAGTTTGCCATCGAGGCCATCTCGAAGGCGTGCTACGAGCGCCTGTTCAAGTGGCTGGTGACGCGCATCAACCGCTCGCTGGACCGCACTAAGCGGCAGGGCGCCAGCTTCCTCGGCATCCTCGATATCGCCGGGTTCGAGATCTTCGACGTGAGTGATGTTAGGGATGGGTCGGGGCTGGGGGCTGTTTTGGACACATCTAACAATATGACTGGTATGACTGAAATGTGACACAGCTGACATGCCAGTCACATGTGTGTATTTTGACAAGCTTGATCCGTGTACTGTTTGTACTTTGACACACACGATATAGTATTTGTCTGTGCATTGACACGTTTGACATGGAATTTGTCTGTACTTTGATACTAAAATGCAGCAGTACTTCAACATGTATGTCATGGAGTTTCTCAATACTTCAACATCTCTGATCGCCGACGTGCCATCTCTCCGCTCCCTAACAGCCGCTGACCTCCCCTGTTTCCTCTCCACAGCTGAACTCGTTCGAGCAGCTGTGCATCAACTACACCAACGAGAAGCTGCAGCAGCTGTTCAACCACACCATGTTCGTGCTGGAGCAGGAGGAGTACCAGCGCGAGGGCATCGAGTGGAAGTTCATCGACTTCGGACTCGACCTGCAGCCCACCATTGACCTCATCGAAAAGGTGCCCGACGGCGCGCAGAGTGGAAGATTGGGGAGGGGGCGCTGTGTAGCAATTTGGTTTTTGGTAGTTTTTTTTCTCGATCACTATATTTTTACTTGTATTGACTTTCTTTTATCTCTCCACTTCCATCATCGATCCATCTTTCCTTTCCTTTTTTCCATTCCTCCCACTTCAATTCGTCCAGTTCTCTTCATCCCTATTTCTTAGTCCAATCTTCCGAGCTGGCGACTTGTATAGGCAGCTTAGTCTGTTATAACCAGGAACAATAATTTTGCGTCTTTTTGTCGTGTCTGCTCTCGTCTTGACTCATACGATGTCTCTGACCGAGTATCGAACTGCGGTACCTGATACTCTATCTGGCTGTGTTTCTGACTGACTGACTGTGTCCGTCCGGCAGCCGATGGGTATCATGGCTCTGGTGGACGAGGAGTGCTGAAGCTGTCGACTGTGGTTGACTGTGTGACTCTCTAACGGTGTTCTGCCCGCGTCCGGCAGCCGATGGGTATCATGGCTCTGGTGGACGAGGAGTGCTGGTTCCCCAAGGCCACCGACAAGTCTTACGTCGAGAAACTGGTCCAGGCGCACACCACGCACCCCAAGTTCCTCAAGTCCGACTTCCGCGAGAAGGCCGACTTCTCCGTCATCCACTACGCCGGAAAGGTACGGCCGGCGGCGCGTGGAGAAGCGACTCATCCGTCTATAGGGGTTGTGTTGTACAGGTCTCGCGAGATTAAGCGGTAGGGGTTGCACTTTTACATTTCCGGTTATATCTCAGAAACTAATCGATCTACGATGAAGCCATTTTACAAGATCATGGCCGGCTTGTTACCCAACAAGTCGATCGCATCTTCAACACTTTAAAGCTTAAGACGACGAAGATATAGCCTGAAGTACACTAATTTTTCTAGGTGCAAAACCTACCGCTAAAACCCGCGAGACCTGTACGTGTGTGTGTGTGTGTGGGGGGGGGGGGTAAATTATGATGGTTCATGGATCAGTGATGATATTGTGATATAATATCCCTTAAGTCAGCTGCAGCTGTGGTGTTCTGCTTAGCTGTCGTATGATGTTAGCGTCATTTGGGATATTGCTTACAGCTGTCATCCCTTGCCACTCTGTCCAATGTCCATCATCTTCACCCTACCATTACTCTGCTCAACTGACACTCCCCCTCTCACTTCCCCACAGGTGGACTACCTGGCCGACCAGTGGCTGATGAAGAACATGGACCCGCTGAACGAGAACGTGGTGTCGCTGCTGCAGGCCTCGCAGGACCAGTTCGTCGTCAACATCTGGAAGGACGGTAAGATATAACGGAGACGGCGGGGTGGAGACGTAGGGCTGTGGCGACTCCCTGCCCACAGGCTGTGGCTTGATCAGACCTCTGTTGAGCATTTGGCGTACGCAAGCATGTACTCATCCCAGTCTTGCTTTGAGGCGAGTAACCTTACGTGACTATAATTTATTGTAGTAATTCATATAAACGTATATTTTCTTTATTCCTGGGTTGTGCTACTGGTAATATCATCGTAACTCCCTCCCGGGTAACTCCCCCTGGTAATTTCTCCCTGATAATTTCTCACTGATAACTTCCCGCTAGTAACGCCCTCCCTCTCAATTCCACCAGCCGAGATCGTGGGTATGGCGCAGCAGGCGCTCTCGGACACCCAGTTCGGCTCGCGCACCCGTAAGGGTATGTTCCGTACGGTCAGCCAGCTGTACAAGGAGCAGCTCTCCAAGCTGATGGTCACTCTGCGAAACACCAACCCCAACTTTGTCAGGTGGGTGCCGACGCGTGCGGGATATTAGTTCTTACCTAGTGGGTGCAGCTGCTGCGTAAAGTTTCAGGTATTTGGGTCATGTCAGTATTATGCGCTCTTGATGATGTTGTTATGTTGTTAGTCAATCTGAACCCTAATTTAATCTAAACTGCGTAAGCAATAACAGCGATTCTATTTTACATGTCGCCATAAATTACATTTATGTTATTTATGATTGTGGTAAGGCTCACTCAGACAGGCATCAGTTCTCCATCATGTCGAAACAAATGCCGCGTGTCCACGACCACCGACCACTACCTCTGACCCCCCACCCCCCGTCTCTCCCGTCCCCAGGTGCATCATCCCGAACCACGAGAAGAAGTCGAACCGGATCGACGCCTCGCTGGTGCTGGACCAGCTGCGGTGCAACGGTGTGCTGGAGGGCATCCGCATCTGTCGCCAGGGCTTCCCCAATCGGATCCCGTTCCAGGAGTTCCGGCAGCGCTACGAGCTGCTCACGCCCGGTGTCATCCCCAAGGGTGAGTGTAGAGGACAGGAGAGGGGGCTGGAGTGATCCCCAAGGGTGATTGGTAGGGGAGGGTACTTTTTTTACTTGAAAGTTGTCTTTGAGAGCTGTTTTAATGCTGGAGAGTGCTCAGTCATCGTTCGCCCATTGAATCCTCAATCTCAGCCAGTAACTTCCACGTTTGTCATTTGTAAGCAATACTAAGCGTCGGTGTAATCGGGACTGTCGATATGCCCACTTTGTTTTGGTAGTCTCCTTAGGCCGGCCTAGTCGCTGCAATGGGTCGTGGCAAGGCCCGCCGGTGGCCACGAATACGTACTTTTCGTCCTAAAATTAATTGGCCACTTGTCGGAGAGTGTGTTCCTCCACGTACTCACGCTCATCCCTCGCCCGCCTCCAGGCTTCATGGACGGTAAGAAGGCCTGTGAGAAGATGATCACGGCGCTGGAGCTGGACCCGAACCTGTTCAGGGTCGGCCAGAGCAAGATCTTCTTCCGCGCCGGCGTGCTGGCTCATCTCGAGGAGGAGCGTGACTTCAAGATCTCGGACCTGATCATCAACTTCCAGAGCTACTGCCGCGGCATGCTCGCCAGGAGGTGGGTGCCAAGAGCATAATAAGCGAATGTTTAGAGTAGGTGAACATTTTCATCCAGAGTTTAGCCTGCAGCTGGGTATCGATGAAAATATAAAGGTCTTACAGGACATTGCCCAGTCGAAGGAGCGCTAAGTACCTATCCAACTTTCACTGAGGTTCGATGCTGTCTCTTCAGTACCCTAATGAACTCCCTGGCGTAATGCTCTCGTCTTTCCCTCCCTCAGGATGTTCCAGAAGCGGCTGCAGCAGCTGAACGCCATCCGCATCATCCAGCGCAACTGCGCCGCCTACCTGAAACTGCGGAACTGGCAGTGGTGGCGCCTGTACACCAAGGTCAAGCCGCTGCTGCAGGTATGTGCCATCGTTGTTTCGGACTGGGTGGGCAGCTAGCGCTATTAGGTGGTCCTCCGAAGTCAGCTCATGTCTGTTACTCGGGGAATAAATAGATCGGCTGACTTTCTGCTTTCGTGTAAATCAGTGCTTTATGTCGCAGCGCCCACGTTTCCTTAAGCACTATTACCGCGGCATGCCTAGCAAGCTAGCATATTTTACTCGTAGCCTGCGTGCTATTACCCTTCCTGATGAGGATGAGAGCACAATCGGTTGGCCGCTACGGACTCAGTTTCGGTTACCACCCCTCATCCGCCCGTGGCCGGTCACTGACCCACTGAGTTCTCTCCCCTACAGGTGACCAAGCAGGAGGAGAAGCTGACCCAGAAGGAGGATGAGCTGCGCAGCGTCGTCGAAAAGCTGGACGTCCAGACCAAGGAGTGCCAGGAGGTCGAGAAAAAGTTCAGACAGGTCAGTACTAGCTGGAGGGCCGTGCTGGTAGCCAAACAAGTAAAAGACAAAGGTTTTTTTCCAAGTTGGATCGAGCCATTTTTCCCTGACTGAATTGTGAGGGTTTTCGACAGAAACAATACTCTCCCACTTCGAGCAAGGCCTAGAATATCCTCCCACGTTTTTGAAAATGCTTTGGCGTGACCTGATCCAACCACATCACCATTTTCTCTGTCATCCCCCACCACCGACCGATGACACATCTCTCCACTGCAAACAAGTGCTGACTCCCCCCCCCCCCCCCGTCTTCCAACAGGCGCTGGAGGAGAAGAACATCCTGGCGGAGCAGCTGCAGGCCGAGACGGAGCTGTGCGCAGAGGCCGAGGAAATGCGCGCCCGGCTGGCCGCGCGCAAACAGGAGCTCGAGGAGATCCTGCACGACATGGAGTCCCGCCTCGAGGAGGAGGAGGAGCGCGTCAACGGCATGAACGCCGAGAAGAAGAAGCTGCAGATCAACATCCAGGACCTGGAGGAGCAGCTCGAGGAGGAGGAGGCCGCACGGCAGAAGATCCAGCTCGAGAAGGTACCCCGGGTGGGAGGGAATGCGTGGTGGGGGTTGTGAGGTCAAAGAATCCGTCCTTGACGTCTGTCTGGCCCGTTTTGCTAACGAGTCATCATGCTAATTCACCAGTTTGCTTTCTCTGCACAAGGTTACTGCTTTTGCCATGGATTGGATCGTCATGCTATTTTTAGTAATCATTTTATGCAATTTCTTGCATTGCTTCTACAATGGAACTATCGAAACTTATCTTTATTTTTAGAGACTGGTCTGACCCGCGCCCGCCGCCCGTCCTCAGGTGCAGTGTGACGCGCGCGTCAAGAAGCTGGAAGAGGAGATGGCCGTCTCCGAGGACATGAACCAGAAGCTGCAGAAGGAGAAGAAGATGCTGGAGGAGCGCGCCAGCGACCTGGCGCAGACGGTGGCAGAAGAGGAGGAGCGCTCCAAGCACCTCACCAAGCTGAAGACCAAGCATGAGTCGACCATCGCCGACCTTGAGGAGCGGCTTCGCAAGGAGCAGCAGCTGCGCCAGGAGCTGGAGCGCGTCAAACGCCGCCTCGAGACCGAGATCAACGACCTGAAGGTGGGAAACTGGTGGACGGACGGCACCGCGGACGGGAGGGGAGGGAAAGCAGCAAGGTACCGAGCGTTCAGTTGTAGTCCTCTTGCTGGACAGCCTGTCCAGTCACCTGAAGAAATGTCTGTCAGAGAAGCATACTGATTTGCCGTTGCTCAAATCAGATAAGATCAGATCTTTTTGGGAGCACTGGCCTTTCAACGCCAGTTTGTATCGAAATGATTACATCCATTTTGCCAATGGTCTATCATTTGTCCTGTTCATCATGTGAACTTTCTAACCGTCCCCGTCTCTTTCCCGTCTTTCAGGAGCAACTGGCCGAGAAGAAGGCGCAGGTGGAGGACCTGCAGCTGCAGCTGGCCAAGCGCGAGGAGGAGCTCACCCAGGCCATGATGAAGGTGGACGAGGAGGCGGCCGGAAAGGCCCAGGCGCAGAAGGCCATCCGAGAGGTCGAGAGCCAGCTGACCGAGGTGAGGATGACGACATGATGACATGCTGCCGACGCGACGGTCAGAGAATGTATATATAAAGCAGGTCGACACTCAGGGTTGTAAATGTTCTCACGGGCTGAGGACATCAGACCGTCCTCAATCCTCATAGTTCCCGATTGCTGTCCTCCTTGCTATATAAAATGTGGATATTTTTATATGAACGTTAAAAAGGTGACTCCACTAATTTTAATCTCGTTCTGCCTCTTGTTGTCAGTTTTGTAAGCAACTCTGTTCAATTTTCGCATTATGATTCTTCGATAAGTTCGAATGGTGTTGTTGTTGGGTATCTGTACTGAGGACATCTTAGACTCTAACACCCCCCCCCCCCCGTCCTCCCCGCAGCTGCAAGAGGACCTCGAGTCGGAGCGCGAGGCGCGCAACAAGGCCGAGAAGCAGAAGCGTGACCTGAACGAGGAGTTGGAGGCGCTGAAGAACGAGCTGCTGGACTCTCTGGACACCACGGCTGCCCAGCAGGAGCTCCGCACCAAGCGCGAGGAGGAGCTGACCAAGATGCAGAAGGCCGTGGAGGAACAGCAGGCCCACCACGATCAGGTAGGTGGACGGCGACGAGGCTGGTGACGTTGACGTTGACGTGGCGTTACATGACTTTGGCCGGTGTTGGTGGCCGCTGATCGGGCATTAGTGGACGCTGGTCTTGGGGAAGGCTCTCTCAGCGAGCTAACCATCGATTTCACCAAAGCTAAATATATTTAGAGGTGTGAAGGATTTCAAAGTTAGCCTTAAGAATTCGGTCTTTCCAATGTATATCAAGGAATACTAACAAAGTGGGCTTGATCTTCGCAGTCAACTTAGCACAAACTGTGGAAAATGAAAAGGCTTTCATGTGCCGCATAATTGCTGTTAAGTCTCCTCTCACCCTCCCTCACTCACTGTCCCTTCCCCTCCTCAGGTCATTGTCGAGCTGCGACACAAGCATAACGCGGCCATGGAGACGCTCAACGAGCAGCTGGACTCGCTGAAGAAGACCAAGCAGCAACTGGAGAAGACCAAACAGCAGCTCGAGGCCGAGAACGCCGACCTCGCGCACGACATCAAGGGTAAAGACGTGACCCTATTCTCGCTCAGTTTCGTTCCCTTCTCTGTCTATTTCATTTTTCGTTCTCATTTTTCTCGCTCAGTTTCGTTCCCTTCTCTATTTCATTTATTCTTTATTTCATTTATATAGTTACATACATTCGTTTATTCACTTATATTTGTATTTCCCCTTATTCGACTTTTGCTCGGCAGCTACATATATAAAATTCAGTACGTCACATCTTGACGTAACTCTCGCTAGTATCTAAAGCCCGCTGTTGTAATGTCTATTTACAGTAACATACGAACCGCTACGTTCTTTCGCCCCCTCTGTTGCGGCGCCCGGTATTCGGTCTGAGGCTATCTGACTGAACCGCCCACTGACCTCCCCCCTCCCCCTCGGCAGCCGTCACCACGTCTCGCACAGAGTCGGAGCGGAAGCGCAAACAGCAAGAGTCTCAACTGAGCGAGCTTACCGTCAAACTGCAGGAGTCGGACCGCACGCGACAGGAGCTCCAGGAGAAGTACGGGATGGCATTCACTCTCATTCATGCACGCTTCTTGGTAGATCCGCTGGTACTACGGACCTGAACATGATTTTTGTTGAGGGATCCGGCTGGACAATAAATCTTGGTTGATTATTTTTCTATTCAAAAACGGTTTTTGCATTTTACATGGTTCAAATCAAAGCGTAACGAGAGTCACGCTTTGCATTTAGAGTTGTATTATAGTCCGATTCACGCCGAGACTGCCATATATGTTTGCCCTCTCTGTACTATGTAGTTTCCCGTGTGTCTCACTCTGCCCTCCCGTCCATTTCGCAGGGTGGCCCGCTCCCAGAACGAGGTGGAGTCGCTCTCCACTCAGTTGGAACAGATCGAGACCAAGGCGACTCAGTCGGCCAAGTCGAGCACCACGCTGGAGGCTAACCTAGCCGAGGCGCAGGGTGAGTTCTGCGACGGTGCCGGAGAATTGGGAATTGGGTGCAGATTGCCTCCCCCGGGCTGGGATTATGAAGGACTGCTGATACCGTCTTTCAGTGACTCCTGTCTCAAGTTTGATCTAGAGTTTAAGAATACTTGTGCGGATATCACTGATACTTTCCTGTGTGATCTGTCAGTGATTTAGCCGTATCGTTGGGTTTAGAATGTTGGTGTTATTTATTCGGTGTGTATTTAGCAGACACTGATAGCCTGTGAGTGTACTTATACTTTTGTGACTCTTCCATATCAAGGAGCGTTCGCAGTTGTTTTGTGTCTATTAGCGTATTCTGTTAGCGTATGTAGCCCTGTCGGCACCCTGCCGATGTTGCGGAGGCTGCGGCCTCCTTTCATCCTGCTAAGCCCGTCTGACGTCTCCCCTCCCCTCCCGTCTCACAGCTCTTCTGGAGGAGGAGACCCGACAGAAGCTGGCGCTTAACTCGCGCCTGAGGACGGCCGAGGAGCAGCGCGGACAGCTGCAGGACCAGCTCGAGGAGGAGGAGGAGGCCAAGCAGCAGCTCGAGAAGCAGCTGGGCCAGGCGCAGACCCAGCTGGCCGAGATCAAGAAACGTGAAGCGGAGGAGGCCGAGACGGTGCAGCAGCTCGAGGAGGCCCGCAAACGCCAGAGCAAGGTAAACTAGGACGGAAATTTGGTGTTGGGACCGATCCAGAAGTCATTGTGGAGTCTCATGTTGGATCGCTCTAATTGCTAGATATAGAGTCGTGTCCAGTGAAGTGGGATAGTTTTAAATATTTGTGTGTGTCCGGTGGTTTCTATTCGTAAAGCCTTGTATCCGATGGCCGCTACAAAGCTCTGGGCTCGGCCTATGGGCCAGTGGGACACTTGACTCGGCCCTGTAGTCATAGAGCCGTGCCAGTTTACCTCTTGTAGTGTCGCTCTGTCCCTAACCCATTCCCCTCCCTCCATTTACCCTGCAGGAGATCGAGGAGCTGCGCCACCAGGTGGAGGAGATGCAGGCGGCCAACGACAAGCTGGACCGCTCCAAGAAGAAGCTGCAGGCGGAGCTCGAGGACGTCACCATCGACCTGGACGCGCAGCGCGCCAAACTCGTCGAGCTCGAGAAGAAACAGCGCAACTTCGACAAGGCCATGAACGAGGAGAAGGTAAGTCGGCATAAAAGGATGTTTTCATTGACAGGGACTGCAGCAAATGCCTGTATTTAAGCTCAAATAACTTTTCTTACATAACTCAATAGTTTATTCCATGATCAACTAAACAAATGATTAGATCTACGCATGATAAGTTGAACTAATTACCGAAATTCAAGGTCAGATTCAGTTAGAGGCCCAGCTTTTGAGCACAAGTATATCAGTTTTAGTATTGCTTTTGACTAGGTACTTGATCGATTCGACCCTGTTCGGCGCGTATGTCGCCCGCTCCTCTCACCGGTGTCTGCTCGTTTCTTTCCCAGGCGCTCTGTGAGCAAATCTCTCTGGAGCGGGACAACGCCGAGCGCGAGGCCCGTGAGAAGGAGACCAAGGTGCTGTCGCTGACGCGCGAGCTCGACGAGGCCCAGGTGGTGCGCGAGGAACTGGAGAAGGCGCGCCGTCAGCTGCAGAACGAGCTCGACGAGCTGGTCAACTCGCAGGGCACCGCCGATAAGAACGTGAGTATGGCCAATATTTCTTTTCTGATTACTTTGACGTTGGAAGAATGCGATTGGAAAGAAGAAGTAGCGATTCCTGTAGCACTACTGGGGATTAATGAAGGGGGAATGATGCGATATGTAGATCGCGCAGGACATGTGGTATTCGTTCATTCGTGACGTAGTACCCGTGTGAGAACGATTACACCGCAGGCATGCGCGCGGTTATGAGATGTATTTGCATCGTGTGGCAGTGCAGTAAGGCAGTATCGAGCCTGATTGCGTGGTTAGAGTGCTGCTCGTTAATCTGCCACTGAACCGTGGCGACTATTATTAGTCCAACCTGGCCGAATTCCCTCTCCCTCTGACGCACCATACTTATTGTTCGACAGTTCCACGAGCTGGAGAAGGAGAAGCGTATCCTGGAGAGCCGCATGGAGGACATGAAGACCCAGATGGAGGAGCTCGAGGGCGACCTGCAGATGACCGAGGACGTCAAACTCCGCCTGGAGGTCAACATGCAGGCGATGAAGACGCAGATGGAGCGCGAGATGTCCGCCAGGGAGGAGCAGGCAGAGGAGAAGCGGCGCGCGCTCCTCAAACAGCTGCGCGACCTCGAGATGGAGCTGGATGACGAGCGCAAACAGCGCAGCTCCAGCTCGGCACTGCGCAAGAAGCTGGAGGCCGACTACAAGGACCTCGAGCAGCAGATGGAGATGAACAACAAACTCAAGGACGACGCGCTCAAGCAGCTGAAGAAAATGCAGGTCAGTAATCGACGTAAAATGACATGGATTTTGTTTGAGTTAATTTGTGCTGTGGGGGAGAAAGTTGGCGTCATATCCGGATTGTAACCAAATCATATATCAGCATGCACCGTCGAGATGGTAGAACAGCGGACGGGGACTGGATCTGACTTATCTATGACCTCCCTGGCTCTGCCCTGACCACCTGATCTGACCTGTAACACTGACCCTTTCTACACAGATGCTGCTCAAGGACAGCCAGCAGCAGGCGGAGGAGGCCCGTCTGGGCCGAGAGGATATGGCCGCCCAGTGCAAGGAGGCTGAGAAGAAGAGCAAGGCGCTGGAGGCAGAACTGATCCAGCTGCAGGAGGACCTCAGCTCGGCCGAGCGGCAGCGCAAGAACGCTGAACAGGAGCGCGACGAGCTGCACGAGGAGATCGCCAACAACGCTAACAAGGGGTCAGTCGCGGGAGCTGACGGGCCCATGGGGGCAGGGGGTAACAACGCTAACAAGGGGTCAGTCACGGGAGCTGACGGGTGTCAGTTGGGCTAGATGAGGGAGCGCGGCGCAAACGCTATACTCGACATGATGTTTGACGTAAATGTTAAATCACATGGATAACCGCATGCATTATTGATATGATTGTAAACGTTGTGTTGTATATGTGATTTAGGCTATGAATGTTTCATAAACACGATTGGTGCATGTGGAACAATTTTGCTATATCGACCTCGGCCTGTTAGATTGTACCTTGTCAGGAGTTAATATGACACAGGATGATAAACACTGGTAGCCAGGATGTGTTTTGCATTTAACGCCGTTGTTAATTTGTCCCGTGGCTCCCCCGACAGTAACCTGCTGGCTGACGAGAAGCGGCGTCTGGAGGCGCGCATCTCCGCCCTGGAGGACGAGCTGGAGGAGGAGCAGTCCAACTCTGAGATCCTGATGGACCGCGCCCGCAAGGGACAGCTGCAGCTCGAGCAGACGACCACCGAGCTGGCCGCCGAGCGGTCCACCACGCAGAAACTCGAGAGCAGCCGCATGATGCTTGAGCGTCAGAACAAGGTCAGTTAGAGGCGGATGGTGAGACGAGGTCGGAGGGCGATGGGATGGGGTCTGAGAGAGGCCCGTTGGGACTTGGGGTGGGGCAGCCCGGCCGTTTGATTGGTCACTGGGCGTTAGAGCGGTGGTGTTTATACGTAATCGTGAATTTGCAGAACGGGATTTGATTGTCAAACGATCCGGCAGCAAGATTGCAGGATGATGTGCTTACTACATGCCGCCTGCAAAGTTATTTTTGGATGTTGAATAACCAGGATGTTCTGTCTATTGCTTTTTCTTCAATTAGTTGTGATTAGTTGGATGACAATGCATAATATTGCTCGTTTGACGTGAGATTTGTCTGAGCCGACACTGTGTTGAACACCCCAGTAACCCCGCTGACTCGGCCCCACAGGAGCTGAAGGCGAAGCTTCAGGAGCTCGAAGGCGACCAGCGCTCGCGCACAAAGGCCACCATCGCCGCGCTCGAGTCCAAGCTGCGCAACCTGGATGAACAGCTCGAGGGCGAGGCCAAGGAGCGCCTGCTGCAGGCCAAGGCCAACCGCAAACTCGAGAAACGGTCAGTGACGCGAGGATCGGGCTCGCTGCATGCGAGAGTCATAAAGGACGTCTGAACCGTCCTTTATGATGATTTTAGAGTAATTAGAAAGGGCTGCGACAGTTACAGGGCCTTGATTTATTACGTTTTCTGTTATATGCTGTGAATGTGGTGAAGTAGCCTAAATGGTGTGTCCTTATTTGTATGATTGCTTTCAAACTTTCATGCTAATTAGCTGCGGTTGAATATGGACACCCAACTCGACTCTTGCTACGACGGTGTGTGATTAGCAATCAGTTAATCGATTATAGCGATTCATTATTTTCTGGATGTTTGTCCAGGTCGGCATTGATGACATCGTTTCGAGGCCATCCCAGTGACCGTGTGTTTCCCGCCTTTGCCCTTACAGTATGAAGGAGCTGATTATGCAACTGGAGGATGAGCGGCGGCACGCCGACCAGTACAAGGAACAGGTCGAGAAGGTCAACTCGCGTGTCAAGGCGCTCAAACGCCAGCTCGACGAGACGGAGGAGGAACTGTCGCGCGAGAAGAGCCAGAAGCGCAAGGCGCAGCGCGAGCTCGAGGATATGATGGAGAGCCAGGAGACCACCAACCGGGAGCTGGCCACACTACGCAACAAGCTCAGGTGAGACTGGCACCGGCGCGGTGACTGTTGGGGTAACAGGTGATTTAGATTCGCCCCCTTGTTCGTCCAGCGCCTGGTGTAGCCGCCGCGAAGTCTGCTTAGGATAACATGTGTTGTTAGACTGCAGCTGATATCTAAGTTTGCTGCCAGTGGCCCCCGAAGTCCGGCTGTGTATAATGTGGTCGCCTGCTTGGCAGCTGGCTGTAGGCTGTAGGGCTCGGCTTGCATTATATTATGTACTAAGCGCTCTAAGATAGTCTGAGGTTGATGACTGAAAATGCCCGGCCCTGGCCTGTCCGTGTCGTGGCTGGTAGTCATCTAGGCGCCGTCGCTGTATATGCGTTATATCCCGCCAGCTACCGTAGTGGGCCGTAGACTGTCCTCCGTCACTAACCGTGCTGTGTGTCCGTGCGGCGGGTGCAGCCGGGTGCACTAGCACGGGATCGGCGCACAGTGGAGGACGGAGGTGTCACGGTCAGTCAGGCCCGCGCTCCGGCTGCCTGGGCTACCGCTGAACGCTAGATGTTAGCAGCCTGCTGGCCTGCTAGCAGCTGGTGGCTGGATGTTAGCCATGGGCGCCGCTGATATTGGATGGTGGCTTCGGACTTTTTTACCAGCTTTGCTAGCTTTGAGCGGCTAGCGGGCTCTGTTCTTTTTACAGCACTGGCGCTTGCACCCGACACAACTGTGTAGCACAAGTTTAATTTAATTTATCTTATATTATGCATGACGTTTAAATGTTACTTTATGTGGACTCTTCTGGTCATCTATTGCTTCTCTCTGATTGCTATTGTTTTGCTCTGTGTGCCCTCTTTCCTGTCCATTCCGCAATATATCCCGACGTGGGTGAATCTCGTGGGATGGGACAAGCCAGATACATTACATCATCATGAGGTGTGGGGCCGTCGCCTGTAGGCCCACCTTTGGGCATACCCTTGGGATAAGGCATAGCACACGCGACTATTGGTTACATGACTGATGGGGTTGGTTGGCATAAGTGTACACCACTGATGCATCGAATATGGTTCTACCTTTACGTCCCCGTACTCCTGGGTCAGTGTGGGGTACGGATTATATCAGGGATGTCCCCTAACCAGCCTGGCCCGACTGCCGCAGCATTGCTGAGGCCGAGGCCGTACTGCTCGAGGTTAAACAGCACAACAGGTTGTAGGCCTTTGGCCGCTCCGTTTGTGGAACCCCGTGTGTGCCTGTTCTGTGTGTCCCTGTGTGTGCCTGTGCGTGCGCGCGCGTGTGTGCCCGGTTGTGCCGCGCAGTGTGCTGAGTGTTCCCCCGAATGTATGTGCATTTCCCATCGTCAGTGCCTTCATCCATTCCTCTAGGATCGAGAAGATCGAAGGTCAATTATTAGTTTTCTCCCTTATCCCTAGCAATCTCAGCACGCGGGGTGTTCTTTGGAATTGAGTGTAGCCATACTCGGGATGCTGGTTCGATGAGGTCCCCTCCTTTTCCCCCTTTGCACGCGAGTGAACCATCCCTGTATGTGTGCTTTCACCTATCCTGTATGTAAACTAACACAAGCAATGTTCGCAATGTGCTGGTTTCATTACATAGACACGATCGAGAAATCGATAGACAAAGCCGTGTGCACTGTGTATGTTTTTCTGTTGATTTATCGTACTGTTGGTTGGAAAAGCCAGGATGGGATATAAAGTCTAGGCTGACCTCCAGGGCCAATCGAACCCATCCCACTAACCAAGTCAAGCTCGGCACTTGTCACAGAGAACTTCGAGTTTTCATTTAGCTTGGTTTGTTTTTGGATTGGATGTTACCCTGTCCTTTGCTTGAAATCTCGTCGCATTAGTTGTACTTAGTTTGATTATATGCGTGCGTATTTGTATGTCATGTAGAAGCATGGAGTGGCTGTTGATTTTAATGAAATGTTCTGCAATGCTGTTTTATAGTGAATCGGCGAAATAGCCGTGTTTCCCTATTTCCATGGATGTGAAATGTTCACACTAAAACGAGACTAAGCCAAATCCTTCGGCACAATATTCCCTAATCGGACATACCTTGAGGTCCGTCATTGAAAGGGCTGTGGACATGCGACTTTTGAGGCTTGGCTTCGCGTGACTGCACTCATGCAGTGCTGTGGTGATGACAGCAATCCCATCTGTGCCTCAGTCTGTCCCTTATTGTGACCATAAGAGTATAAAACCCGTTTACCGTATAGAGAGCCGGTCGTATACCGTATAACCGTATAGGATTGGTTACTGAGTGTGATGTGCTCCCTTCTTTCCCCGAGTGACCCCAGCCCGTCTCCCCACTGACTGATCTCTGCTCGCCCCGACAGGCGCGGTGGTGCCGGCCTGGGCATGTCCACCAACCGGCTGCTGAGCGGCATCAAACGGTCCAGCATGCAGCCGTCCGGCGACGACTCGGCCTCGTCGCTGCCCGATGACAGCATCGACGACGACGGCGAGGCCGACGCCTGAGCGCCGCGCCCACACACACATTCCGGCCCGGCCCGCGGCGCCGGGACGCGCGACCCGATGTGATGATCAGATAGCCCGGTCGCCGAGTCTTGTGAGAACTGCAGTGCACGCGTGTCCCGCGCTCACCGCGGCCCGATATATTTTCATATAGACGCGTACTTTTATAAGTGAGAGCGAGAGCGAATGAGAGCGCGCGCGCGCTGCGGCGCGTCGCGGCGTTCTATCCGAGTGATTCCGAGTGCCGGCGGCCAGCGCCGTCCGTTGGGCAGGTCTTGGCTGCACTAATCCGCTTCCGCCGTGACGGTTGGAGAGACTAATTTGTGAGCTGTAGCTGCGCCGCCGCCTGCCGCAGTGTTTGCCATATTTGTCGCCGGGCGGCGCCGCGGCGGCCGGCAGGTGCCGGCACACGTAGGCTAAGGCGTGCTTGTCCCCCGCCTGAGTGCGGCCGGACGCCAGAGATCATTGTTATTGCTCCTTTCTGAGACACGCTTTTCGGTGCGTGAATAATTCGTGTAGAAATTGAATACTTAAATAGTTGAATAAATGAAAGAGGAAATCGGTGGTGTAATTCCGTCTCAGTTGATAGTTCGGTGGTATTCCGGGGTCAACCAACTTACGAGCAATCAATAAGCTCGGGCTAGTTTGACCTTCATTTTTCGTAAACTCCCCTTGAGCTGCGTTACCGGGAAGAGATCCGGGCTGTAGCATGCTGATGTGACCGGCCATGAGTATGTGGGGGCAATGTGATTGCCGACGAGCCCCGAAATGAATTCAAGAATTCACATGAGTAGCAGACCCGAGAGCAGTTTTAGCGGGTTCGGTATTGTATTCGTGCTGCCCAGGAAACCCGAAATGGATGCTCAGCGCCGGGCATTCGTGGAACGAATTACCTAACGGCAGGCGCGGATACAAGGGGGGGCCATGGGGGCCATGGCCCCCCCCCCCTTGGCCGATTTTTTTCAAAAATAAAATAAAAATTTAAAAAGTTAAAAAGCTGAAAAGGGGGCCTCCTGAAAATAAAGTGGCCGAAATCCGATGAGTTTTTTTTTAACCTACCCACTTAGTTATTTCTTAGAAGACTAGCTGAGAAGACTTCTTTGTTAGAAGATTGGTAAAGCTTTTCATAACTTGGAGGTCTCTTATACTCACAGAGATGACCACTTTTACAGGGCCTCCTAACCTGCACAGAGGGCCTCCAAGCCTGCACAGATGTTGAGATGTTGCCTGAACAGCTAGATAAGCTCAATAGACGCAGTTTTTTTGGGGGGGGGCCCAACAAGTGGGAAGATGGGGCCTCCAACAGGTGGGATTATGGGGGGGGGCCTCCTGGTTTCTAATGGCCCCTCCCTTGGAGATTTTCTGGATCCGCCCCTGCCTAACGGCGACTCTAAATGTTTTGAAAATAAGGATAGGCCCGAAGCCGGGCTGCCGGTTTTCATCCACCAGCTCAAAAACAGGTGACGTGGCACACAAAGATTGCTAGCGTGCATAAAATATTCGTATATTTTGTAACGGCGCGTAAAGCTCCATATACATCTGCGATAAAGATTCGTCATATCACATTGCATTGCAAATAACCGTCACACAAAATAATTTCACGCACCGCCGCGCGTCACGTTGACAAATCCATCGCCTGGCTGCCCGGCGCCGTTCAATGGGTAAGACGGTTTCTCTGCGCAATAGCACTGCAGAGAACACTCCCCACGCACACAGACGCACAAACACAGCAGTACAATAACCCCGGGCAATCGGCCCGTCCACACACACAGACTACGGGTACAGCTGCCAGCGGCCAGTTCAGGAATGTTTATATTTAAATGTCTTTAATATGCACTATGCAGCTATGGAGCATCCATGGCACCATTAGCCGACTCCTCGGGGCTTACCTCATGGGGCCGCGGTCGTCTCTGAACGTTCCCGCCCCTACATTCATTTCACCCCCACTTGCTTCTCCGTCAGTACCTACGCAGCTCAAGTCCGCAGCTCCGGTACGCTCATCTTCTTCCTCTTCTTCCACCCAGCTTACCGCCCCTCCCTCACGCCTACTCCCATTGATGAAGTGCCCTATATTCTGTCCCATCCTGTCCCTTAATTATAGGTGCGTCCGTAATCCCGTTCTCCCCATGTTCCTTCAATGTTCCCTCACGCCGACTCAGTGGTCGAGAGCTGTCGTTTCCATACGATAACGATACCGCTGGCGTCCCCGGTGGCCAGCAGGGACTCGTCCCGGTTAAAACTCACGTCCAGCACAGCGGCGGAGTGGCCCTGCAGTTTGTTGACGCACGGTTTGAGGTCACGCTCGACGTCAAATAGGTACACCGTGCAGTCCTCGCTGCCAGACACTGAAAGGAAAGGGGGACGGGTCAGGTCACACGGTCACACTGGTGTACGAATCAGGGACGGATTCATTCCTCGTGTCAGATACGACGATAGATCAGAAGTGGGCTCTTGCCAGACTGAAGCGGGGCAAGTGTGTTTGGTTTTGTTTGGCATTGAATTCAAATCGTAACATCCTCACGTCGTCATTACATCGCGTGATCGCTGAAAAAAAAAATCATTGAAATGTCAACTAAGCTTCTGAAAACAAATTACAAAAGGGTGTAGAATGAATATCGGATGGTCTCATGTCCGTTCATCTTACCGACACAGGCGCCCTGGCGGAACGACATGATGGGGCAGAAGGACGACTTGATGACGTGTTCGGCCGAGCTGTGGCGCACGGAGAAGCGGCGTTTCAGCTGGAGACCGCCCTCCTGGTCCACCACTCTGCGTCAGAAGCGGGCGGGTTCACACGTCAGAAACACTGCCGTGGCACGTCACCGCACGGCGCAGTCACTGGTGGACAGGCACGCTATGGACCAGCCCTGGACCAATCCTACCACCGATTGCAATTCTAGCTGTTATGTCAGCTGCGTATTCAAGAGTTTTCCAGCTGTGTAACTGGTCAGAGGCTGCAGCTTAACATCCCTCACAAAGCCGTCGGAACGTCTTAGCTTATTCAGAAAGTCGGAACGACAAACACCTGATCGTGCAAGTCATCGATGAAATCTAGTAATGTGAATCGCTTAACGCACACACGGATCGCTTCCCCCTAAAAATAACTTTCGGGGACAAAACCTATCAAGCAGACACTCTAACAACGCCGTCCAGTGCCCATTACCCACCGAAAGAGCAGGAGCGAGTTACAGGCGGCGTTCACGAGCAGCGACATATCGGCCGCCTCCCGACTGGCCCAGGAGCGTGCAGAGATACAGGTGACGGGTACCCCGTCTGACACGGTAACCCGGCGACACTTGACCAGACGACCTGACGCCTGGTCACACTGGAACGATACCACCATGCCCTGTGGAGAGGACGGGGTCGGGTCAGCATACACTGTGGTTTGGGACAAATTATGAATGAACAACCGCGGTAGGGACACTCAACTGAGGACAATGCGAACTGCGGTGTAAGGGACAGACTAAACTGTATTCACCAGAGTATTTGGGGGGAGGAGGAGGAGGTCTGCAAACAACTTCATCAACTTTCTACTGTCAGTCTTCTTCCACGATGCCGCTGATTTGTAAACTTACCATGTCTTACAAGCTGATTCTCTTTTATTTAATTTACTTTTACTTAGTCAGTTTCTGAAAGTATGATTCAAAGACTCCCTGAAGGGGAAGGGTCGCGTCGGTCGCCTCCTCACCTTCTGACAGCCGGCCCAAATGAGCGCTCCGGTGGGCGGGGCGGCCAGTGCGGTCACCGCGGACGCCAGCTGGCTGCTGCCTCCCGCCGGGAACCTGCCCGACGACACGTTCACCGCCTGCACCAGGCCGTGCCGGTTCCCCAGCAGCACCAGGTTGTTGTTCTCCGGGTGGAACACCACGCAGGAGAGCGGCGAGCCGTGCGGATCGGCCACGGCGCGCAGGCAGTGACCGCTGCCCGGCTGCCAGAGGCGCGCTGTGCCGTCCCGCGCGCACGTCACCAGCAGTTCGTTGGAGGTGGACCAGGCCAGAGCGGTGACGCCGTCAGTGTGACCCGAGAGGAGGTGACGGACGCGCGGCTCCCCCTCTAGCTCACAGACAGACACCCGGCCGTCCAGAGAGCCGAGAGCTAGCAGCCAGAGCTCATCGTGTGCGAACTGCACACAGGTCACCGGACCCGTATGCTGGTCAAACACGTGCAGGAACCCGGCGAAGGCGTAATTCTCTCCGAGCGACCCGCCGCCGACGATGGCCTGCGAGGCGGTGGCTCGGGCGGAGGGTACCAGGGTGCCCCCTCCGCCGGGGGTGGCCGGGGATTCCCCGCCGCGCCGCGCCACTCCGACGTCCGAGTGGTGCCGGCTGTGACTCTGGCGGCTGTGGCTCTGCGTGCTGGCGCTGTGTGAACGGACCGATACCTGGTCGGCCGGCACGCCGTAGCGCCGGCTCAGCAGCGCCGCCCGCTGGCGCAGGTACTGGCGGCGCAGCGCCGGGTCGGCGCCCGCCTCCTCCCGCACACCCTCCCGCAGCAGCTGGCTCCGGCGGCGGATGTACAGCGTCCCTGCCGCAGGGAGAACGGGCAATGAGCAATGCAAGACCGCATCAGCGCAACCAGATAACAGAGCTCAGAGGTACAGTCTCACTTTGATCTACACCATCCACAAACTTTGAGGGGATACTTTAATGGACATGAGTAAATCAATTGTCACAAATAGAAAAAATAAAATATAAAGAAACTTACTTTGACCAAATCTTTCCCACCTCAATCAAAAGCCATAGCACTAGGTAAATGGTAACTACATCAAAAACATCACATGGTAATATCAGTGATGTAGGCACCCGTGTGAGTGTTCAAAGTTCAAGCAGTATTGATTGATGACATTTTATGTTGACAGATCAAACATCAGCCTCTCATAGTTGCTGTGCTGACACTGGCAGATCTATAGGGGATATAGCAAGAGCCCCTCACACAGCAACCAGAATTGATAAAAGTTGCGCCCTTTTATGTTTGTATTTTTCATTCTTTCAACAGCAGGTTGGTATTTTCATTGCAAGGAAAAACCTTAGCATTTTAATAAGAAAATGCCAGTTGTTAACCACAGTGCCATGCAAAAACAACTTGAAATTGCAGTTATCAAATTTGGGACAATGTTTGGAATAATTTGACAAGTGCACCCCTGTCCCCCATAGCCTCCAAGACTACATTTATGGGTGCACCAATGAGAGTTCCTTTCAAATCCCAAGTTCTGGAATAGACCTCAACCTGTGCAGCAGGAACTGTAAAGATATGTGAAGCATAAGTTCCACCCTCGGAAATCTGCCAAAACAACTAATATTTCATCAATAAATAACTGTTGGTGCCTTTATCATTACATCAATAAGCGAAGTATGAAGGCATTAAATAAGGCACCAATGCCACCTATCCTGTAAGCCAAATAACTTCAATAATAATCAAATACTGGTGGCTCACCAAACCGCCCTGCTGTGGACTTATCATTATCATGACATCAATATGAATCTGACTTACTGAATCCTGGGTCAGCCGGAACCCTATGGGCATTGAACCTTGCATCTAGTGCAAGAATTTGCTGCCACACCGTCATAACTCATAACCTTCGGCGCGAATCAACGTGTTATTGCAATTAAAATATCACCAAACGCTCATATCTCAGATGACGGTGACTGTGTGACCTTGAACTTTGTTGTTGATGCTGGCTGTTCCAAGAGCTTTAAAAACCAGTTTGCACCGTAATCGTGATACAAAATAATTTTGTTTTGCTTTACAACTTTTCGCATATTTTTATCAACTATCATTTTTTGCCTCCTCGAATATTTCTCATTGATAGTTTTCCATCTATTTGCCCAGATTGGCTCTGATGGCTAGAACGTCTTCAAATACGACGCTTGTGCGACAAACTAATGCTGACATGTCACGCCAGAAACTGTTTATTGGCTCATTTCATTTCTTCCGGTGAGGTCGCGCGGAGAGGGGGTGTTCTGTCCCTCGTGAACTCGACCGGTGTTGGCCGTGATTCAAAATTCACCTGTCAGCTATTAGGACCTAAATAGCTAAGCAAGCGGATCCATTCGTCGCTGGGTCCGACTGCGGCAGGGCGAAGACTCAGGAAGGCCTAGTCCAAGTCGCTGCAGTTGGAGTTGTGTGGTGAAGCCTCATCATGAAATCGGTGACTTGTTCGGGTCCGGTAAATATCGCGGTGATTAAATATTGGGGCAAGAAGGATGAAAAGCTGATAACTCCATTGAACGACTCGATTAGTGTAACGCTAAGCCAGGACGAGCTACGTGCCAAGACCACCGTGACACTGAGCGAGACCTACGCGGAGGATAAAATTTGGCTGAATGGCATTGAGGAGCCCATCAGCAACCCGCGTCTGCAGGCCTGCCTGCGTGAGATCCGTGCTCGCGCGCAGACTCAGCACGGCTCGATCCCGGCCGGCTGCGTGCAGATCGTCTCCGAGAACAACTTTCCGACTGCCGCCGGGCTGGCGTCGTCGGCCGCCGGATATGCGTGCCTCGTGTTCGCCCTGTCGCGTCTGTATGACGTGAGCGGTGATATCAGCGCGGTGGCACGTCAAGGCTCCGGCTCTGCCTGTCGCAGTGTGCTGGGCGGCTTTGTGCGCTGGCGAGCCGGTGAGCGGCCTGACGGCACTGACTCCTTGGCCGAGCAGGTCGCGCCGGCCAGTCACTGGCCGGATCTGCACTGCCTCATTCTGATCGCCTGTCATGACCGTAAGAAGGTGGCCAGCACATCCGGTATGAGCCGCACCGCGGAGACCTCCGAGCTGATGCGCGCGCGTCTGGAGGGACTTCCAGCTCGCCTGACTGCCATCACTACCGCAATCGAGCAGCGCGACTTCCCGGCATTCGCCGAGCTGACGATGCGAGACAGTAACCAGCTTCACGCCGTCTGCCAGGACACCTACCCACCGATCCGATACATGACCGACGTCTCACACGCCGTCGTCGAGACGGTGCACACCTACAACCGACTCCTCGGCGGCATGCGCGCCTGCTACACGTTTGACGCCGGCCCGAACGCGTGCATCTACCTCCCGGCGGCCGAAGTGGGGCCGTTCCTGGCGGCGGTGGCTCGCGTGTTTCCGCCGCCGGACCCGGCCTGCTGGGTGACGGGCCGGTCTGTCGAGCTGCCCCAGCTGCCGGAGGAGCTGGCTGCTGAGCTGCAGCCCCGTATTCCCGGCGGGGTGCAGGGAGTCATCCACACAGCGGTCGGTGACGGGCCCAGGCTGTTGGAGCAGACAGAGTGACGCGCTAACGGCGGCGGGAGGGAGGAGAGAGGGCCGGGCGAACGGATGTCCGGTACGGCCGGTCGGCTGCACCGCGGCACACGGCTGGGCGGCAGACAGCGGGCGACCCGGCAAGCAGACACCGAGTTGCCAGCCTCGTCGTCGCAACTTTAAGATCAAACAATTTTTGAAAGTTGTATCGGACTGAGCCCGGCATCGTTCCCAGCTGTAGAACAAACCGTGACAAATAGCTGCAGCTTTGTTTGACCTTTACCCGAACCTAGCTTGGCGCTCCCGTCAGGTAAACAGTGTACGGTGTATTGTCAGCCAACTGTCCCGCTGTGCGCTTTGTTACGTTTTCTAAGAGGCTATTTTTGCGCGACCGCAATCGATTTATATCGTTGTTTTTACGTTTTTCGCTCGTGCCGAACCTATGGCGTTAGCTGTGTCGTTAATCGTTACGCCCTAATGAGTATCGTTGTTACGCGGAGTATTATTGAGGTCCCGGGCTGGGCGGACCTCGGGTGTGAACACCGACTCACTTGCCGGGTATTGTTGCATGACATGGCGGTCCGATGTACGCGGACGATTGGTGGTGGCTGACTCATGCGCGCTTTCCTTGCCACACGAACAAAGCTTCCTATCGTGCTGACTGTTGATTTTTAAATAGACAGTTCCAGTTCGTGTAATAAATAAACTGAACGCTCACACTGGTATTACATCACGCGAAGGCACTCCGATTGACAGCGGTTGCTCGCCACTGACCACATTTCTATTAGTGCCATTGGATCGGCTACCACCGCGCTGGGTAACGATACAGCCTCCCGTTACACATGATACCGCAAATGACCTGAAGACAGACGCGTCCGAGCCACACAAACGATTAGTTATCAGTGTTCAGAGCGAACCGGCTGGCCAAATTTGCTCGATCACAAGTAAGGCACGCGTTGATCACAACCGATAGTAAGTAGGAGCTACGTATGGAAAGACTCGGACAAAACGTGTCCTGCAAACCACCGTCCCATCCTCGTGACTAGAAGGAAATCATCTACGGACTAGTCTGATCGGACTCTAGAGGTAAATTAGTAGAAACACGATAGAATATCAAATAACACAATTGGATAAAAAAAACTTAGAACGGTTAACAAACAAGTTATCGACGGGCGTACATCGCTTCAGCGTTTCGCGATTCGGTTCGAACTCGCCCCCACAATCAACAAAGACACGCTATCCTCAACGCCAATATTCCTCTTGCCGCATATTATATCCTTGTTAGCAAAATAATGGGAAGGATTGGCTGCACAGATCGCAGATCTAATGTCTCTAAGCTAAAGCTCATTATCACAACCCGGGTTATCCACAATCACGGGAGCAAAACCGGTGTAATCTCTGTTGCTCACCACCAGTAGGCGTAGGCGGTGGTCGGACGATTCTGCTTGATATTCAGGCAGCTCTATATAGAGTCGTAGGTTTGAGCGGGGACAGCACGGTGTCACCAAAAACCGAAGCTCTCGCTCTCAGGCAGCGTTACACACCGGGTGTCACCCAGACCAGCTCCAGTGCCAGGTTGAGACTGCGCACCTGCCTTCTCAGCTCGATAAACCCGGCTCGGTCGAGTCCCTGCAGACTGCTCAGACGACCGAGCCTGCACAGAGCGGACTGTGAGTCGAACATGAGCGGCAGCAGTGGCTGCACGGTCAGCGCGGCGCTGCAGTTTATCCATAGCTCCTCCAGCTGGTGCAGTCGGTTGGCAGCCAGCAGCTGGTTAAAACCGGTGTCATCCAGATACCGCAGCTCGCCGTCTAGTTTGAGTCGGCGCAGCCCGTCCGCGTGAGCTAGCACGAAGAGAAGTCGCCGGCCTGTGACGAAGCCGCCGAGAGTGAGTTCGCGGAGCTGCGTGTGCCGCCGGTGCAGCTCACCGAACTGTAGCTCGTCGTCGCCCCGCTCGGCCGGCAGACGCACTGAGTAATCCCCGGTGAATGAGTAGCGCTCCAGGCGCGGACACCAGCGTGCCACTGCGTTCTCCAGCGCGGCGGTGGCCGTGTAGTCATCACAGACATGCAGCGCGAGCTCAGTCAGCTGGCCACCCAACTGACGAAGTACCTCAGACATCACCGAAAACCGGGGCGCGTCGAAACTGTTGATCTCGAGCCGCGTCACGTGCTTTAGGTGCGCTAGACCGGCCAAATCAGGGGATCTTCCCATGTCTTGAAACACAAAATCCAGCTTCAGCAGGCTGACCACCGGACAAAGTCGTGACAGTGCTACTTCCTCCGTCTTTGGGTTGAACAGCCAGAAGTTTTCAATACGCAGACGGCGCGGTGAGCCGCAGCCAGACCCAGAGCCGGAGCGAGACAGGGGTAGCGGGGACACATGGCGGCCGGAGGCCGACGCCGCGCTGCCGTCGGCACCGATAGATGATTCTCGGGAAGGAACGGGGTTGGCTGCGGCCCCCGATTCTGGTCGCTGTTGACCCGCGTCTTCTGGTCCATCTGCCGGGGCGCTGTCTTGTCCGTCAGGTGGGACACTAGCATCGTCATCCGCTGCGCTTGCAACTGAGGCGCTGTCTTGACCGTTTACTGTATCAGCACTTGGGGCGTTATCTTGGTCGTTCGCTGCGCCGACAGTTGGGGCTCTTTCTTGGCTGTTGGCTGCACCATCCCTAGGAGCACCACCACGGCTCCCCTCCGCTCCACCCTCTGGAGCCCTGCCGCGACCGCGGGACGCCGGTAGCGCCATTTCACCGGTGACACTGGGCAGCTGGGCACTATGAGCGCGACCCTCCGGACTGAGGAACTCCCAGATGTAGCTCAGCATGGCCTCTCGGGAGTCGAACAGGAACGGGCCCGAGTTGCAGTTGAACGGGCAGTGCTCGAACCAGGTGAGGGACGGCAGGGAGCAGAGAATCTGCCACGAGCCGGCACCTGGCGGGGAGAAAGACAGGTAGGTCAGCTCACTACCGTGACTGATTCAATTGATCGCAAAAAAAAATCCTAAAGCAATGCTGATGCTGCAATATAACTTAGCAATGAAAACATACAGTTAGATTTGAACTTATCCCATTACATTTAGCTATATTGTTTTGTTCTACGCTATACCTAAGCAGTAAGCATATCGGGACCGGAGTCTCATGACAGTCTCGTCATATTATAGGTAAGGATCGATCATTTATGTCAAGATGCAAGTGTGATATGGGCGCTGCCACCACTGTCAAATAAGATAGGGTCGGCTCCGTAATGGAGGTATCACCTGTGATGGAAGTTCCACTGATGTTGAGTCGCCGCAGCAGAAGGCAGCGCCGGATCTGGGCTACCTCGCGGTCGGTCACCTTCTCCGAGTCCTTGAGACTGAGCTCCTGTAGCTGCGGACACTTTTCGTCGAGTCCGACTAGCATCTCCGGAAGGCAGATGTACTCGAGGCGCAGGGTGGTGAGCTGAGGTAGACCTGGGCGACAAGGGGATATTGGGAGATGAGTGGACCATGGACGGTGTCGGCGCCGCACTGGTCGCGTAAAGACGAATGTCGACATATGTATAAGAACACGGCGAATCAGGACGGCTATTCGGTCCTTGTCTGTCATGGATAGCCACACAGAGAAACTGCTCGTAACTGATAACCGGATCTCGGAATGTGATCACGTCGAGATACTGAACGGTAATGGTACACTGCGACAAAAATACAACCCAAAGGGGCGCTACTTGTACTGCCTCACCTGACAGCAGGTCGGGCAGCAGGCTCAGCTCGGGTATTTTCCAGAAGTTGAGCCGCCCGATGGCCAGTGTCTGCAGACGCGGCATGTGCGCCAGACAGCGGAACACGTGCGCCACGGCAGCGCGGTCACACAGCATCCGGCACTGGTCCAGACTGAGGTGTCGGATGTGGTCCCCGAGCAGCCAGCACGTGACGGCCACCATCGCGGGCCGGCGGCTCTTGTACCTGACAAACACGGCAGGCAGGTAGGACAGCGGTGGAAGAGACGCGATATAGGCAGGGGCTTTGAACAAGGTAGGCACTAGGCATGTGTTCGGTCTTACGTTAAATTGAATGCTGTTGAATTCGGGACTTTCTAGAAACAATGGGAGGGCTAATAAAACCTGAAGTGGTAATATATCTGATCAGTGGCTTCCAAAGTTTTAATATGCCAATTGCGAGCGCAGGGCTACTTCAATTAAAGGGACTATCCCAGCTTCTAAAATGTTGTTAAAACCAGTTAAATTGTGCCCGACTTTATAGATTGGATGACCAGGAACACGGTTCTGGCATTTATTTTTCATTAAACATCTTAGGCTTCCCATATTCCAAACACAAACTTTCAAATATGTGACGTCACAGCCCAAAATTACCTCCTTCCCCAGGCCACATTACTGTCATAAAGCTGATTCTTTTTACTCTGTAGGCACCACAACAAAGTTCAGACCAAGTTTTAAGCGATTTTTCAACGAACAAACCCATTTAAATCAGAATGACTAAACGAGGTGACGTCACACTAACGGTCGCTCCATGTTGAAGATAGGGCCTTGTACAAGGCCCATTTTCAAATGAAGGGAACGAATTTCTTCAACACCAAGAGGCCGCGGGGGTTGCAACCTAGATAGATAGTGGTTTCTGAACCTCGCCGCAAACTTGGCTATCTCAACTCAAACCCCATGTTAAAGGTGGGATAGTCCCTTTAAACAACAGCATTAAACATACATTTTGAATGTTCATACTCACTTAGGGTCATAAAAATGTTTGTTGATCTGAGTGAGTGTTCTGTGCACCAGCTGCTCGAAGAAGCACGGAGGCACGTTGTAAATGAGATAAGATCGAGCCTCTTTCTGCTGCTCCTGAAAACTGTCTGCCTTCCTTAGACTGTGTCCTGATGTATTTTGCTCATCTGCCACACTTTGCTTCAGACTCGTTCCTGGGTCCACAGCTGCTGCATTGGCCTTCTCATGTGTATCCTCAGGACCAGCTGTCGCCACTTCATTTTCACTTGCAGTAGTTTCACTTGATCTATTTTCTGACTTCATTTCCTCAGTTTCAGCGGCATCCTCCAGCAATTTCACAGCGTCCTCAGTGTCCTCTGATGGTACAGCTTGGTCGGCCTCATTCTGCACTGTTTGCTGGCCAGCCTTCTGACTAATCGCTGTGGTGCTGGTCCCACATCCAGCAGTGACACTGCTCTCCTGCTGGGGTGCCTGCTCAGCCAGTATCTTGGGAGAGCTGATGGCCAGCTCGGAGAGCAGCCGACAGAACTGCTGCAGGCAGACATCCTGCAGCGTTGGCACGCCCAGACATGAAGGCATTGCTCTGAGGGAAAGGAAAACATTGATATAAGTTTCTGTTGCTTTGACAAGCTCTTATCTACATTTCTTGGATGAACTTTGGACAGCACACGCAGCTCCACAGGCTATTTCCTGTGAATTGAACAAGTCATGGTTCCCTTGTGCCAGGCCCTGCAAGAATATGACAAGCTGACACCTCAGGTGACATTGCAAATCTGGTGGGTAATCCATTATGCTGTATCACCCAAAATATACAGCAGATTAGGAGAGACTGGCAAATAGAATTGGATGTCAATATTTCAATAAGACTCACGGCAGAAAACTACTCGCATTCAGGGCATACTGGCCCCAGGGCAGTATTCTATCCCCACTTCTTAATACAGGTGCACCTTGTCACTACATTGCAAAGGCTTGACAGATGACACATTGACCAGAAACATCCAGACCACCATTAAGCCCATCTAGCAGATGGCACATGTAACATCATAGGCAAGCAGTCATGAGCGCTGTTCGGCGGCCGGCTAGCGCGCTAGCCCGCGCACACATACGTGCACGTTGCCCCGGCAACGGGCTATTGACCAATGAGAAGCGCGCTACGGGGGGCACAGGTATATGAAAAATCGCAGTGACGTTGCACTTTCCTGGCTTCTCATTGGTCAATAGCCCGTTGCCGGGGCAACCAGCACGTATGTGAGCGCCGGCAAGAGTACTAGCCGGCCGCCGAACAGCGCTATGGGCGTAGGAACGGCTGGAACATTGTGGGTGCATGGGGCAGAAATCCAGCCATGACCGGTGAGGCGGGGGGGGGGGGGGGGGGGGGTAGGGAGCGACAGCCGAGCGAAGGCTCATTACGAGCTTTGAGGGTGTACCATGTCGAAAAGGTAGGGGAGAGTGGGGAAAGATGCCCAGGGTTTTACTATGTCATATATTATTCGAAAATGACGATCGGAAAGCAAAAACTTGGAGTTTCAACGGAAGCCGACATCATTTTTCTCCAAAAATATCACTCTTTCGTGCCTGAAATATGATAGCTCTTTTTGCTATTAAGCATTTTCCTGAAGAAGTGAAAGGGGGCATCTTACCCCACATGGTGGGAAAGACGCCCCCTGGCGTTGGGGAAGATGCCCCCTGCACTATAAGTGACATAAATGGGCACGTGAATCGCCTGAACGAATCAGTAGTCCCTTCGAGCCTGCAGTAGACACCAAACGTCATCGTAAGGGCCCTCAAAAGAAGTCGTAAGGGGCTTCAGAGGTCATCGTTAGGGCCATCATAGTCCAGCGCGGCCAAACAAGCCTCCATGGTGGCGTTCGGAGACCACTGTGGGGCCCTTATAGATCTTCATGATGCTTGAGGGCCCTCGAGCCCATCGTGGGGACCTCAAATGCCAGCGCGGCCCGTGAAGCCAACGTGGGAGCCCTCAAAGGATGTCGTGAGGGGCCCTGGAGCCAATAATAGGGCCCACAGAGGCCGTCGTGAGGGCTCTCAGAGTCAGATGCCGCCCAAAAAGTCGCTGTGTGTGCCGAGAGACCGGCATGGGGAGCACCCGACCGTACTGGACTCTCAATAGTCCCAGATCGGCTTTTGTCTCTCATCACAAGTATGTAATAAATGATTTGACGGACTGCTTGAAGGACAACCTACGGATTTAGGGGGGCGTCTTTCCCCATCAGGACAGGGGGCATCTTACCCCGAGGTACCGAAGTAACATTAAATCAGTACAATTTGATAGCCATAAAACTACACCCTGAAACAAACTGTTTGGGGCACAGTATACGCATGCTAATGTATTACGACTATAGCAAGGGACGCAAAAACTATCTACTTTCTTTGATATTTACAATGTTTTGACACCAAAATATTTTTTGAAAGCAGCAAATAAAAAACAAGCAATCACCAGTCAGCCGTTGCCCAACTGAGCTTCGCAAATTTTTGTGCAGTTAACAAGGCAGGCTTCCGCTTTACACTAAGAGCATAAATTTCCAGGTTCGATTCTTTGTTTCGCCGCTAGAGGGGGTGGGGCGTCTTTCCCACCCTGGGCATCTTACCCCACTCTCCCCTACTGAAGTCTGAAAGTGCATTTGGAAGCATTAACCCTCGCGTGGGGGGGGGGGGTGGTCGGATGGACCTCCCATGTTTTTTCGCAAATAATTCGCGCAAACAGCGGCCGATCGCGAAGAAATTTTAAGTGCCCTCGAGAGTTGATCAGTTTTACACCTACTCTGAAAATTTCATGACCCTAACCCAAAAGACCTTTGACCTGTGACCTGATTCTCGAGACCATGTTCGGCCGGAATCCGATTTGGCGTATGTCAGCTCACATTATCTGCGCGTTTCCAGTCTTTTTGTGATTGTAGACGTCCAAACATGTGAAATGATGTTCGTCCCATGCATCACGGAGGGTGTGAAGGTCACCTGAAGTTCAGGTCAGGTCATTGACTTTTGATGACCTCGGTTCACTTTTTCGAGTTTTACATGTTTCTAGGGTAGTTTTTCGGGCTGATTTCGAATTTAGCACCCATTTGAACATTTACGAAGTAGTTTTAGTGCCTTCGTAACATGCTACGACGCCGTCAGTGGTAGTTGACAATTGACATCTACTCTGGATAGCCGGTACTGGTAGGACGCCTAATGGTTGACCTGACCTGACCTGACCCGACAGCTGGCCTAAATGCATGAAGACATCATCTGTGATCAAAACTAACATGATATTCGTGATCAGCACCCCGAAAAACCCGACAACAGCTTCACTTTACGCATTTCTAGCAGGTCCCGATTTTCCCGACTTTTGGAACATTTACCTGACCTGGAAGGTCACCTAATGACCTAGAACCTTAAAATTGGGTATCATCGGCTTCCTCTAGCCACGGGCAACACCCTCGTTTTTTTTTTGCGAAGCTCTAGCTCGATCAGGTGCCGAACGGCAGGGGGTCCGATCGACCCCCTCCCCTACCCTCCCCCTACACATAAGAAGCTGGAAAGCGCCGCACACATGCGATGCGAGGGTTAAGATTGTCAAAATTGACTACCGCAAAAAGTAAAAGCGGCCAACTTAGCCATTTTCGAAGATATCGGGCTAAACATTTTGATAGTGGGTCATCAGTATGTGTTCAATCACATGCTCCATTTCCTTTTTTTTCTTCAGCACAAATGTAAGTAATGACCATCACAGTGTCATTCCTAGTCATCAATCCTACATATGTCTACTGTTGATCCTTCTATGTACCATCCTACCGGACATGAGCACCAAATAGACCAAGTCTAACCTAGCTCATCAACCTTAACCTTAACCTTAACCTTAGCAAATGTTTCGAAAGATGAATAGTGGGCAACATATCCTGAATTTGCCGTGCTGCATGGGAAGTAGTGTTGATGAGAAAAGGGGTTTTTGGTTCAGATTATTGTGGGTGCAGAATACATTGTCTGCACCCACTGGAGAATTATTGTGGGTGCAGCTGCACCCACTGCACCCATGGTTCCTACGCTTATGCGTAGGTAGGTACCTAAGTGTCTGTACTTATATTTGTAGTGCAAAGCCTTGGCCCTTGAAACACACAAAAGCCTCGACTGGAAAAAATGCACGCTTTCGTCGAGAACTCGAGCGTAGTTGGGCGTTTGCGCCGAAAATTTTTGGCGTACTTCGGCGTAAATCGACGGCTTGCGCCGAAATTTTCGGCGTACTTCGGCGTAAATCGCGAAAAAAACCGTCAGAGGGGTGGCACCAACCCCCCCCCCCCTCGGCCTGCGAGGATTTAATGTCTTCTGGAGTTAAACATCTTAAATATCACTTATCTTGTCTCGTGTTCGTCTTAGGGTATTTAAGTCATGTTCAGACAAAAGCTACTTTAAAAAAAGACAAAAGATCTCAGTCATGAGCCTTACTTATATTATATGACCTATAGGACCAATGCCATGATACCCAAGGGCTGTTCAAAGGCACTGTGATCTGCTGAATGCGGTGAGTGCGGCAGGCATGGGGTAGGGGGTGGGTAGTCAGTATGACGTCACACGCTGCGGGCTGTGTGCGGTGTTGGAAGACTGGCGTAGGGGCGCAGTGGGCACTGGGCAGAGCTTGGAGCCTGTGTATGGTCCTACTGCACACAGGGCCCGTGAACAGCCCTCTGGAGTTGCGGTCAATTTTTGAAGTCTGAGACACTCGGAGTCACCAAAAAGTCCATTGACTGACTTATGACTCCACAACCCTTGCCCTGGCCCCTCTTACCAAGCAAGCACTTTAGCAAACGGGCGAGAACTGCGAATTTTCTTGGAATTTCCTTTAGGACGCGTGTATATCACACCACGGTGAGATTTACATAATGCATCGCACTGTAGTGTAAACCTCACCCGGGTGTGATTTACACAATACACTACTCCTGTGTATATCACACCACGCGGAGTGTGATTTACACAGTGGGCCGGCAATGCGTAAATCACACCGGGGTGTGATATACACAATGTGCTCCTAGTGTGTAAATCACACCCGGGTGTCAGACCACGCAGCACCTGGGTGTGATTTACACAGTAGGCCCGGCAAATGCGTAAATCACACCGTGGTGTGATATACACAATGTGCTCCTAGTGTGTAAATCACACCTGGGTGTCAAACCACGCAGCACCTGGGTGTGATTTACACAGTAGGCCTAGCCAATGTGTAAATCTCACCAGGGTGTGATATACACTGTGTGCTCGGTAGTGGGTAAATCACACCTGGGTGTCAAACCACGCAGCACCTGGGTGAGATTTACACAGTAGGCACGGTAACAAGACACTTAACCAAACCTTAGACCTGACCTGACCTAACCTAACCTAACCTAACCTAACCTAACCTAACCTAACCTAACCTAACCTAACCTAACCTGACCTACTGATTTTTGCCTACCCGTGGATGAGGAAGAAGGTACTCGCATGAAGAGATTGCAAGCAATGGTAAGTCAAATATTTTTAGGTTAAGTGGTTGTGCATCAGGCTTCAGGCCTTCGGCCTGAAGCCAGATACACAACCACTTAACCTAAAAATATTTGACTTACCATTGCCTGTAATCTCTCCTAAGGCATTGCCTTCGGCACTGCACCGCTTCGCCACGAGCATTCAGACGTCGCTTTCCATATTGTATTGGTGCTTTTAAACTTGTCGGTCGGCAGCGAACCCACCGCTACCAAGGAAAAGCGAAAATGCGGGAAAAAGCGCCCGCACCGACGGGACTCGAACCCGCAACATTCGTATCATCGTGCAAGCACCTTCACCACTAGGCCAGGCGATCTGCTGATTCCGTGAGAGAGGACGCCCGGAATCCCGCCGGAATATTCGTAGTGCTTAGTCTGATCTGACCAATGGGCGAGCAGAGTCACTGCTCTGACCAATGGACGTTCAGCGTTGCTATGACGTCACATCGCGGTGAGATATACACACAGCTGCCCTCTCTGTGTATTCCTCACCCGGGTGTGATTTACACTACGTAGTAGATTTTGTGTATATCACACCGGGGTGGGTGTGATTTACACAAATGGCCGGTATTGTGTAAATCTCACCGTGGTGTGATATACACGGTCCCTTTCCTTTATGACTCAGGGTCCTCAGAGTGTGGTTATGAGTCATTTGATGATTTTTTTTTCAAATAAGCATTTTTTTTCAGTGGCCGCAACATTTTCCCCGCGTTCGATGTCTCTCGGACGACAAAGATCCTCCGCCGTCCGGCCAATCCCGTCCAAGGTCAGCGGGGGCTCGGCTGCGGTTATGGAACGTGATTGGCCGGACGACATAAATTCTTCGCCGTCCGAGAGACATCGAACGCGGCATTTATTTTCTGCGTCAGATTGGTAAAAGTGGCATATCAAAAGTATTTTCTCAAAATACCTAAAACCTTTTAACATTTGTTGGTGGTGATTTTTTTTTTAATGTGTACAAATCAAATTTAAAGTATTGTTTGTTTAAACAGAAATTATTTTTTTCATTTTCCGATCATTTAATAACTGTAATTATGTAATTCTACATGAAAGTATTCTATTATAAGTTCATAATTGAAGGCATGAAGGAGAATCTATAAAAAAAAATAGATTTGGTAGCTACATAAACTACAGTGAACGTCACATAAGTGGAGCGCGCTAAATGAACGCGTTGTATGGGACGTTGTATGCGACAGGGTATGAGGCGTTTCTAATCAAATCAAAATAGGGTGAATAGGTATCTGTCTTGTGCCATATTTTTGCATGGGTCTGCGCTAGGGACGGAGGTTATTAATATTTTTAAGAGAAAAACGGACGTAGGAATGTCACGAAAGGTGGTGGGGGCCAGCGAAACTTCAATGTCCCTTTGTGGGAGCCCAATATGAATACCAGTCGGGCACACTGTGGTATTTCCGATCCATTTATGGAAACGTTTCCATTTTTGGAACAATGTTCCAAAAATGGATACGCCGTTTCCAAAAATAGAAACGATCTGTTCCATAAATGGAGACGCTCTGTGCATCGCTACCTTTAAAGCAAACTGGGCATTGATTGGTGCAATTTGGCATGCGCAGGATGCCACCAATCGACAGCCAGCATTCTAGTTTATGTTCCTGTTCTCCGACTTTCCGATCAGAAAACCGAAAGTTGACGAACGAGGCGATGCTTATAACATGTTGACGTGATAAAAAAATTCACACGTTTTTCTAATCGAAAATAATAACATTTATGAATGTTTTGAACAAAAAATAACGTTTTTAACAGACTACTGAAAGACTGACCCATTGATTGGAACAACCACATCACCGGGAACTTCAGTTTTTCATTCATTTTCACGCTGCGTTTTCCGGTGTACCAGCGGCCTGGTGGTCGTCAATCTTTGATTAAATCGCATGAAAGTTGTTGCAAAGCCCTATTTGGAGACTTAAGTGGGCATTTTATGATATTTCAAATGTGCTGAATATGATCGTAGGCTCGGATCAACGTAAATCTCCGTGCAAATACGTAAAAAGCAGGATGGAAATAAGGTCTGCACCGTCGTCACACCAAATACCGTTGTATTCTGACGATGAATTTATTCATTCTAGCTCATGTGTAACATTGATATTAATTTTATATATTGAAATGATATCTACGCTTTATGTATTGCCCACTTTGGACCACATCTGTCCAGTAGTTTCTGGGAAATCTTAGTTTTAGTTGACTTTTGAATGTGCTCAAGTTGCGGCGCGTAAGGTATTATTATCGAACCCGACGTCCAAGGTAACTGCCGAGAGCCGAGATGCTAAACCAGTCCCAAAACATCAAATTTTTAGTTGCATGTGAATTTTAAAAACACATTTAAGCTAAGTTTGCACACATTTGAAATTCAGCGTTTCTATTTTTGGAACATCGGCGTTTCCATTTTTGGAAACTAAGTCTCCATAAATGGATACGATTCAGGAGCATTTTAAAGACGTGAATTTTAATGCATACGACAGCTTTCCATGCAAGAAGACAAGTGCTTTTGGTGTATCTGAGCTTGTTTTACGCGAAACAGTTGTTATACATCGAATCCAGCCACCCTTGGCAAGAAAATATGTGCGGAGATGTTAGCGTTTCTATTTATGGAACGAGCGTTTCCATTTTTGGAACAGAAGAGTAGTCTAAATTGGAAACGTTTCCAATAATAGAAACGTCTCCATAAATGAATCGGAGATACCACAGTGCGCCCGACTGATACCCCTACGAAAAAATATTTGCACTAAGGGTCGGTGGCCTGTATGACCCTTAGTTTTGTATTTAAATAAAACATTTTTTTAATGGCTGAAAAGTGGGGGACTGCATCCTCCCCCTGTTCCTACGCCTATGAGAAAAAAGCAAAGATGCTCGTAAAATTGTAATTCAAATAAGGTGCCACTTCCTGCCTCCTCGTTCTTGAGGGCTTGAGACTCATTCTATCAAAGTTTCAGGATCTTGATCTTATTGAATTTAATTCGATTAATCAGGCACCAAAAATTCATTTTATGCTGAATATGTCCAGCGTGGAGGCAGGATTTGGATTGCACCGAAAGTTTCAGTGCACATCCAGTGTAACTTTGCATGCGCTGAACTGGGCGCATGACAGAGGCATAATTTTTTGGCGAAAGGCGGTCACTGAATTTAGTCGGCACGCTGGTCAATCTAGCAGCAGACTCGCCCTGCGTGCGGCTCTGGAGAAGTTTCAGGATGACACGTCCCCGCCCCGGCCCCGATCGTCGTGTGCTCGGACTAGTGAGCTGCCCTGAGTCTACTCAGAGGGGGAGCTGCCGCCCGGATGAGGCCTCAACCCTTTGTACGGAGATAGGTATGGAAGACCTTGTTGAACATTGCCAAGCATCATAAAGGGTAATCCTGCCGTGGGTTCCTGCCCACTGTGGTATCGAGGGAATGAGAGCGCGGACGACCTGGCGAAACAAGCGGCCGCCCTGCCCTCAAACGCTTGCTCACTGGCCACTGATCAAGGTGGTTCATTTTGCGGTCTTGCATCAATGGCGCGACAGCTGGTCCGAGTCACTATTCAAGCCACTCCTCGGGAGCACGCCACCGCGCCCTATCCCCAGAGAGGACCGAGAGGACGCCGTCTCGGTGCACCAGCTGAGGGCGGGCTACTAGGCCCGTTCGCTCCAGTACGTGCACCGAATCGGCTGTCTCCACTCCACGGCGTGCCAGCAGTGCCCAGACAAGCGGTGCCCCACAGCACTCTGCGCTGTGTGCCGAGAAGAGGCTGATGTGCCGGAGCACGTGCTGCTCCTCTGCCCGGCCCTCGCTGGCTCCCGCCAGTCTCGAACACACTGCTCTACCGATTTTCGTGGTCCGGAACTTCTGTCTCCGGCCTTGTTTCACGGCACGACGATACAGTCCGCAAAGGGTATTGAGTTATTGGGATTTCCGTTAAAATAATTATTCGAACGCTAAAACATGGGAGAGCATCCAATGCCCCGGAACGCTCATGTGCTTTGTATAAAAGTGGCTTAATTTTGGCACAAATTGCATTAAATGGGAAATTGCGGTTTGTTAATGTTTTCATAATGGATCTTGCATTGGGTTATTTCAGCAAAGTGCAATAAGGCACAACCATGGGTGTCGATTTGTATACCTTTGGGGGTGCTGCAGCACCCCCAATGCTCAAATGAGCACCCCCAATGGTTTTCCGGGCCCCCTTAATGATTTTGTCCCTCAATAACTCCCACTAACTCTGCTTGAGGAAAATAATTGTTCTGCAGTATTTCACTACTAAAAATAAAACAATTACGCAATTTACAAGGCATGAAATAAAGATGTAAAGAAAAGAAAAGTTAGTTTTAAGAAGAAGGGCGAAAAAAGACGTTAAGTTGCAAAGACACTGGTGTGGGTCCGTCGTACACGTGTGTCGGACCCTTAGAGCTGCTGGCGCGTACTCTTTACAAGCCGGCAGGGGGCTCCAGAGACCGGCGACGGGCCCTCAGAGGCCAGCAAAGGGCCATCAGAGGCCGGTGGTACCTTCAGAAACCCTGTGGGGTCGTCTTTAGAGACCGGAACGGACTCAGACGCCGATGGGGCCCTCAGAGTCGCCGGTGTGGGGCCTTCAAATGTCACCGGTGGCAGGGTGGCCGTCACATACGCACTTGTGGGGCCTTCAGAAGCTACGATGTTGGGCCCTCAGAGCCACCGATATAGGGCCTTAAGAGGCACTAGTGGTGGGGCCCTCAGATATGGCAATGTGGGGCCCTCGGACTGGAGACGCCGGTGTGGGGGCTTCACAGTCGCCGGTGACGGCCCTCACACTTCACAGGCGCCGTTGTGGGGGCTCTCTGAGATACTGCTTTAGGGCCATCACAGGCGCGCGTGGGGCCCTCAGAACTGCTGTTACGGAACGGACCCTTCATAGGCCGACAAGAAGATATCAAGAGGTCACCGGTGCCTTCAGGAGCCTTGTGGGGTTCTCAGAGACTGGCATGGTGCGCTCAGACGCCGCTGGGACCCTCCGAGTCACCTGTGTGGGGCCGTCAGGGTCGCTGGTAACTGAAAAGGGCCCTCAGAACCGCCCATGTAGGGTTTTTAAAGGCATTGGTGTAGGGCCTCAGAGTTAGGGGTGTGGGGCCCTCAGAGACGCCGGTGTGGCGCTCAGGGGCGCCGGTGAGGGCCCTCACAGTCGCCGTTATAGGGGCCCTCAGAGAAATGGGTGTGGGGCCATTACAGGCGGGTGTGCAGCTCCTAGAGCTGGCCCCCTATACGCCGGTTAAGACCCCCATAGGCCGGCAAGTGGCCCTCAGAGGCTGGCTTGGGGCCCTTATGGAGATAATGTTGGTACTTGTAGGCCCATGAGGTGTTCTTACGAGCCCTGTGGGGCCCTTCTGAGTCCAAATATAGCCAACGTGGCACCTCAGCGTCCAATTGGCGCCGTAGGGCCCCTCAGGCCCGAATAACCCGATGGGCCCCTGAACCTGATGGGGGGGGGGGGGCATGTGCCTCACGGGCCCACCTGGCTACGCCACTGAGGAAAATCGTAAACCCATAAATATCGAAATGCGACCACCTGTCATTTTTTCAACGATTATTGTGATCGTCTGATTAACGCCAGAGCCTCGTAGCTATACCGTTGCCTCCCGCGCAATATCCGCCCCTGTGGACCGCAGGGGCTGCTGCACCGGTGCTAATCGCGATCATCGGTTTCTGTCACCTTATTACAGGGGTGCCGGGGCTGCTGCCGAGCTGCCGGCAAATGTACGACTTTTTTCGGAAAGATGTTTATTGTACCTAATGAGGTAGCCAAGTGCTAGGACGAGCAGAATGATTTTGAAGAACGTTTAACCTTTGGGAAATATTAGTGGAAATCCCGGGATTATCAGTACCTTATGGTGATACCCAACCATGCCTTGTACGGTTGTGCCCCATGGCAAAGCTGCAATCTTTCACCCGGTGCAGGGGTTGAGCACCCCCAACCATTTTGAAAAATCGACACCCCTGGGCACAACACCTTGACGTGTTCTTGTGTTCCTACAGAGTTGCGATCATGAGTGACTATGACTACATGGAATCTCTGCCGTCTACGAGTAGCTCCACACGGAAAACGGCCAAACCGAAAGGGAAATCTCCAAAAAAGGCAGTGAAAACAGAAAAGGATGCTGAGCCGAGTGGTGACACCAAACCGAAAAACAAGAGGAAGCTTGATGTGAAGGATGAGAAACCCAGCTTGAAGAAACTAAAGGTAATATTTAGTTTAGTATTTATTTAGTATATAGTATATAGTATATAATATTTAGTATAGTACCGTGCCAGTTCGTGCTTTACGGACATGGAACCGTCTGCCCAACGAGCAGCGACAAAACATCAACCCGACCACTTTCCGAGCCAGCGTAAGAGCAGCATACGCGAGCCAGTCATAGATGCGCCACCTATCATCCGTTTTTTTTGTCTGTGATTTTTAGCCAAGCTGTGCCATGTGCGTACTTTTATATAATTTTATACGTTTTATCACACTCGCGTGGGCATACCTATTTTTATCTCATGTTCTCTGAAATCTGCTTCAACGACTGTGTGATATACGTGTCCTTTATGTACTTTGACACTGTGGCGGTAAAAGCCAACATTGTTGGATCCCACTAAGACATGCAATAAATAATATTTAACTACAAATTAGGTAGGTATGTCTTTCCTATGTTTATGTATGTACTGGCCAATGTCTAAATTGTATTTGAATAGTTTCAATTCCCACGAAGACAACTCAAAACGTAATGTTTTGCTTCTTATTGGTGAAATAAATTTTAATGGCTGCTGGTGGTAAATGATGTTAAATTACCGTTTTCAATATGATGCGTTGTCCGTGCAGCTCAAGCCATTTGAACCTTCTCTAAATGCCTGTTAGTTCGCGATTTTAGCGAATCCTCACGAGGTTGTTCATTCTCTGACAGCGGGAGCCGGCCTCGGGCGATGCGGAGGACATTCAGCTGGATATTCCCCTACTGCTATCTCAACAGCACCACCTGGATCTCAACGTCTCCTTCAACATCAGCCAGCTGCTGGACGATGACCACAAGGTGAGATACCTCGAAAGGGTGGCTTGTCTGGTACCTCGCTGGCTTCTCGCTCCGATCGGGAACACCCGCTCTCGGCCGTGTCCCCTCTGCTAGTCGGGTCGAGGTCGCTGGGTCACATGCTAGGGACACGCTCAGGGTCTACAAGGGGGAAGTTGGTGCCTCGCAGCAGCCTTTAATGATGCAGACTGCCGAGGCGCCCCCAAATCCCAACAAACAATACCAGTACTCTGCACTTCTCTGCGTGAATAATTGCTCACGTTTGCTTAAAATATATTTAGATACACTATTTAAGACTCAAACGCGCACGCGCACGCTGCCTTATACCTGACACCACTTGACATCTGACACCATCTGGTGACTGGCTCCTCTGTGACAGGTGTCCTTCATTGCGAGGTACAGGAAGGCACAGACAAACGACATTGACCCGGAGGTTCTGCACGAGGTGGCCGCCTCCCACAGCTACCTGCACGGCCTACAGACGGCCGTGAGCAAGGCCTACAAACAGCTGAGCTCCGAGCAAAAGGTGAGTGCTGGGGGAGTCAAAGCGCCAAAGGGAAGTGAAAGACGTGTGGAGTTGTAAGAGGACATAAGCGCTCAAGAGAGAAGGGCTGTCATGAGGTCTGAGGACTTGCCGAACAGAAGTAAAGGCTGCCCTGGACATCTGAAAAATTGAGTATATAAGACGTAGGGAAAGCCATGGGGATAGCTTCAAGGGGAGGTGGGGATAAGGGTTGTCATAATGAGATAGGGTCTGTGACTCTGTAGGCATGTGTCCCAGGGAGTTAGGGCTCTGACAGGTCTATCTCTGATTCAGGTGACGCCGGAGCTCCGCCGGGCTCTCGTCTCGGTGACGAAGAAATCCGAACTGGAGACACTGATGGAGCCTCACAAGTAAGCATGCTTCACCATCATTTAGCCCTCGATTGTACGAAACATCCCGTTTGTGTGGTCCTATGAAACATGTTACGTTCAAATGGAAGAGCTGGCTTAAGGTGAGAGAGGTCATCAGTTCTTACAGGATATTTGTCAGTGAGTGATGAGCGGGACGTACTCGTCCCTCCTGGCCTGTGGCGTCAGCTCGGTGTCCTGACGGCTGACGGGCTGAGTCCTCCTCCCTCTCCAGGAAGGGCCCTCGGACCACGCTGGCGGCGCGGGCGCGCGCGGCCGGTCTGGAGCCGGCAGCCCTCTGTCTGCTGCACGGCTCGGACCGCTGTGTACCCACGGCTCTGATCCACCCCGGCACTGAGGGTCGCCAGTCTCTGGACCAGGTGCAGGCCAGCCTCTCCAACCTGCTCTGTGACATGATCGGAAAGGACGTGGCGGTTCAGCAGCAGGTGGGTACGATCTGGCCGAGTGGTCTGCGGTGTTCGGGTGGAAGGACCCGGGTGTCGCCGGTGGGCTGGTATTTAGTGTTCTCGATCCGGCGTGTTTGGTGGCTACGTCGTTGATACTGAATGGTGCAGTTAGCGTTTGCAGCGTCAGGAGTTACTCTAGGCGCCAGAGTTAGCCGCAGCCCGCAAATATTAGTGTTCTTTCGACGCTGGCGGATGGTGCACATAGAATCATGCCGCTTCTGGTCGGTCATGATATACGATAGTTGCCCTCGCATTTTTCTGCTGCCTGGTACTGTAATTCTCATTTTCTTGGCCCTTTTTCATTGTGCGTTCTCGTCCTTTTACAGGTGGTACAAATGGCCTCACACCCGGGAATCCACCTCGAATCCAAACAGAAAACCTCCAAGAACGCTCCGCCCAACGATCAGAGCTACAAATACCGCAACTACTTCAACTTCCGCAAGCCGGTGGGTCGGGTGCGGAGCTTCGAGTACCTGGCCATGTGCCGCGCCGAGGACCTGAAGCTGGTCAGCGTGAGGCTGGACCTGCCAGACGCGCTGCGACATCAGTTCACCAACTTCTGCCTCCACCGCTTCCTCAGCAGGTGGGCCTCCTTGGAGATGGATGGAAGGACAGGAGGAGAGATGCGTCTTGGTTCAGTCTTTGCCTGTGCTCCAATCGATAGGTAACGTTCACGTGATATTTGAATGTTTTGTTGAACACAAAGCATCGACCGGCCAGTCAAACGAATCGTTTTAATGAATGAACGATTGAATGAATGTATGAATGAGTGAATGAACGATCGGATGCTCCGTAAACCTGCCCAAATGGTTAACCGTGACGACTTAGCCAATCAAGCATTCATTTTACCTGGCTGTAATAAAATTATACGTCCTGCCTTCCCCACCCATTAACTGCCGACCCTTACCCATCCCAGAGGGATGTCAGACAACTATCGAGAGTCCTCCATACGTCAGGCGGTCGGCACCCTCTTCAGCAAGAGCGTGACGCGTCAGCTGGAGCGTCAGGTGCGCCACTCGCTGAAGGAGGCCGCCGAGCGCGAGGCGCTGGCCGTCATGTCGAGGAACCTGAAGGCCAAGCTGCTGACGCCGCCGATCAGGGGCCGGGTGATTCTCGCTCTGGACCCCGGCTACCGGGCCTGTAAAGTCGCCGTGGTGAGTGGGGACGCCGGGGGAGAGATGCAGATGTTCTTCGGGAGACCAGTCAGATCAGCCAGCTAGGGAGCCGAATGTTGTGAGGGTTGTGTTCAGAATGGCAGTTTGGTGAAATGAGTCTCACTTTGGAAGAGTTTTTTTGCGCCTGCCTTGTTTTTTTTTTGCGTTTGATTTGTTGTAATTGTCTGAACATCAGTTGTTGCGTGTTATGCCGTCTTTCATTGGTAATATCGGTGCCGCGTTTATGTCAGTGTGTAACCCGCTCCACCATGCTTGCAGGTATCAGCGCAGGGCGCCATTCTGGAGACGGCCGTGCTGAACCCCCGCCTGTCCTCCCGCTGGCCGGAGGTCGGAAGGGACCCGGCGGCCGAGCAGCTGAGACGCATCATCGCCCAGCACGGCGTCACGCTGCTTGGGGTAAGCGGCGCTCTGGGGTGACGCTGCTAGGGGGCGTCACGCTCGTCTGGATTACCTTGGTGTCACGGCGTCAGGCTAGGGAAGTTGCTGTGGTGTCACGGCGTCATGCATGGCAGTATGACTTTCCGCTATGCAGTATGACCGTGGGTAATGGCACCCGCTCCAACATAGGTAATGGCCTAACATCTATTTGGCTGGTCAAGCGAGTAATCAATTAAGCATTTTGCTTGTCAGGTAAGTAACTGCCTTCCCTGAGTGACCAGCCAGACCTGTAAACCCTCATCATTTGTCAGGCCTGTAACTCCCCTCCCCCTTTGACTGGATAGATAACTCCACTTTTGAGTCCCGTTTATCAGGCGAGTAACTCCCCTGACAGAAGTAATTCTCCTCCCTTTGACAGGTGGGCATTGGGCAGTTCCCAGCTCCGGTTTGCTGAGCCTGTAACTTCCCGTTTGTTAGGTGGACAACTTTTTCCCTTTGTCAGGCATACGACTCCCCTCCTCTTTGACAGGTCTGTAATTCCCTTCCCCCTCTCTCAGGTGGGTAATGGCACGGCCTGCCGCGAGACGTGGCAGTACGTCTCGGAGCTGAACGGCGCCGGCGCGCTGGCCGCCGCACCCCTAGACGTCACACTCGTGGACGAGGGCGGCGCCAGTGAGTACTCGACCTCGCCGGCGGCGGCCGCCGAGATGGCCGAGCTCGACTGCACGGTCAGGAGTGCGGTGTCACTGGCGCGGCGGCTCCAGGACCCCATATCGGAGCTGGTCAAGGTAAGAGGACTATTTGATTAGTTCTACACAGGAAGTAACTGGTCACGTAATTGCGCACCGTTGCCTAGGTAGTTACCCGTCACATACGGCGAATTACAGATAATCGACTCATATTTTGTGAGGAATCTTTTAGTGGATCATCCATACGTCTTGACGGCCATTTAAAAGTTTGCCCGACTGCATTGAGACCATGTGTTGGCTGTGTGCAGGTAGATGTGACCCTGTCCGTATGTGGGTATGTGACCTGACCTTACGTGACCTGACCTTTCCGGTATCCAGGTGGATGTTGCCTGTCTGGGTGTGGGTTAATGTGACCTGACCGTTTTCTTCCCCAGGTGGATGTCACCTGTCTCGGCGTCGGTATGTACCAGAAGGACATGCCGGCTGGCCGGGTCAGCCAGGTGCTCGGTGACGTGCTCTCGGACTGTGTGGCAGCTGTCGGTGTGGACCTCAACACGGCCTCGGTGCAGCTGCTGAAGAAGGTGCCTGGACTCAACGCCGCCAGGTCAGTCACCGGCATCGGCCGGGTCAGTTATAGGGCTTTGTCTACCGCTGGTCATTGCTCATTGTTTATCAGCGTGATCACTACTGTCATCATCATCATCATCATTGTTTATTCAGCATCGCCATGCGACAAAAAGATACATACCCCCCCCCCCACACACACACATACACAGTTAATCAGCACTCATGAGGTTAGTAGTCTTAACAGGCGCCGCGAGGCCTGACAGTTGCTTGCCAAAACCATCTTCAGACTGTCTATAAGACCGCCTTCTTGGAGTGGTGCCCGGACTATGTCGCGATCGACGTACCCAGCAGCGATGTGCATGACAGCGCCGAAATTTCCACCACACAGTTTATACACGTGGCCAATAAATGACCCATCCAACTGCTCGGGAAACGTAGCAAGTCTGGCTAGTCCAGTGACGTAGGCTTGGCGAAGACGGTGGTCAGCGCGGAAAGCATTACGGAATGCGCGGAGGGCATCACCTCGCAGCACCTCACCGATGCGAGGCACCCCAGCAGCAATCAAAAGACCCGTATGGTGCGCAGAACGCGGCAGACCCAGCGCTGCCTTGATCAGCGAAGCCTGTCGCGAGTCTAGACGCTCAATGTCGGCGGAGCTGAGGGGAGCCGTCTCACAGCCGAAGATCAGTGCCGGCAGCACTACTGTCTTCCAGAGGAAGATTTTGTCAGCAGCAGTCAGGCGATTGGTGAAATTGCCCAGGGGTGTGAGGCCATAGAACGATGCACAAGCACGCCTGATGCGCTGAGCCACGTGGCTATCTGTGCTGAGGCTGTCATCAAGCACCGTACCGAGGTGCTCGGTCGTCTGCCGGATCTGCAGCTGCTGTCCTGACAGTGCCCACCTCGGTGTGCTCGTGAATAGTTCCTGTCCAAATATAATACAATGGCTCTTGGTTTTTCCCGGTTCAGGGTGAACGAAGTCGAGGCGCCAAGTAGCCGCGAATTCTCCCACCATCTGCAGCATTGCACCGAGGTCACGCGCGTTCGCAGATATAAGGAGAATATCGTCAGCATAGCAGATAGCGGGTACGTGCTGGCTGTGTAGATATGCTCCACGACCGCTGCGATCTAGGACCTCAATAAGAGGTAAGAGGAAGATGTTTGCAAGCGTTGGCGATAAGATGGCCCCTTGTCTGGTGCCCCTGCAGACCCGGAACGCTTCAGATGTGGCGCCACCAAAAGTCACCCTTGCAGAGAGGTGGCGGTACCAGGTGACCATGAGGCGCCAGCAGTAGGCACTCAGATAATCCTTCAGACGGAAGAACAGACCGTCATGCCATATTCGGTCAAAACATTTCCTCGCGTCAAGGTTTGCGACAAAAACAGAAAGACCCCTGGCTCGATTCTGCTGTATGGTCTCTCCAGCCAACAGAGACGCTTGCATGGTGCCCCGATTGGAGATAAAACCAAACTGCAGATGATGCGGTTCAAATGAGGCGTTCAGTTCGTCTAGCACTAACAGCTCGAGCAGCTTAGATGCGCAGGTTGTGATTGAAATCGGTCGATAGTTGTCCAAGCAGTTAGGGTCCGATTGAGATTTCTTCAACACGGGTACAATAACGCTGTCAGCGAAGGTAGCTGGCACGCTACACGTGGACAGGCAGACAGAGAGAAGGTGCGCCAACGCTGACAGGAGACAAGGCGACTGACCATAGAGAAGGTGCTCCGCCGTGATGCCGTCTATACCAGGTGCCTTCCCACGCTGTAACCGGTGAATGAGGCCTGCTACTTGTCCAGCTGAAACCGTTCTTTCGGATGCATCGTTACGGATTCTCCTTAGTCGAGAATCTACATGTTCAGCAATTTGGAGCTGGTCCAGAGTCAGTTGCCTGTGACTATCTTGGTGCACAGTCTGGAAGTGGGTGCGGAAGTCGGCGGCGGATAGATCAGAGGCCGACTTGAGTCCATTACGCCGTATCTGTTGCACACGTCGCCAGAAGGCTGTCAGATTTTTGTCACGGCGAAGCCGTCGGAGAGCGTGGGCCTCGCTCTCAATCCGCGCCACTGCTGCACGTCTGCGGGCGTGACGGTACGTGGATCTCGCAGTCTGATAGCACCGTGTCACCGCAGAGAGGGTGGGACGGCCACAGCTAACCCATATCTGATGCCAGAAGCGAGTGCGATCCCGCGCTGCTGCCACATCAGGCGACCACCAGGGCTTCGGGGGACGTCGCGGCTTGGAGCATCCGGCGATTCGCGCAGCGGTATGTATGCATCGTGTAATTGCTTCGTCAATCTCATCCGGGGTGGCACCGTTGGTGAGCTGACAGGCACCAATAAGCTCGTCCAGAGAAGACAGATATATCTGCAGTTTTTCTGGACAACTCCAATCCAGTACTTCTGAATGGATGCAACCCATATTCAGTGGAGGGCTGGAGACATAGAGGCTGGTGCCAGCTGAGGCAGACTGCAGGACCACGCTGCAAAGGACCGGAAGGTGTGGGCTCAGGTTGTCCACACAGGGGGCTACGATGCGACAATCATGAAATTGAGGCACCAGACATTGCGGTACAGCGATGTGATCGATGTGCGATTGGCCGTCAGCTCGAGCATAGGTGTACGCCACTGGTTGCGGGAACCGGAACTCGGCGATTGTCAGTCCGTGGTCGTCCAATAAGTCTTGCATTAGAAGACTCAGCGGAGAGAAACCCCGAAGACGGTGCCAGCCCGGTGGGCGCAGTTCTGGTGACAGTGGTGGCAGAGCACAGTTAAAATCGCCTACAAGCACCACTGGAGCTGAGGGTCTTAGCGAAGAGAATAATGCATCAAGCTTCCCAGTCAGGATTGTGTACTCTTCAAAGTTTACGGCAGATGAATTCCAGTACGGCATGTAGCAGCCAATTATCGTTATAAGAGGACGGCTCAGCTCCACAATCGTAACTCCACAAATACGAGAATCATTACACTCTACAGCGCGAAATGTGCGCCCCGCTTGACGGCGGCAAACAAAAGCCACGCCACCGTGGGGTCTGCCATCTCCAGCCCCTGGTGGTAGTTCCATGGCGAATTCTTGAAATACCTGAAATTCTTCGGAACTTAGAGAGGAGAGTGCATGCTCCAGATAAGCACCCTGGGCACGGGCTAGCCAGGTTTCGCATAGAAATAAGATATCACATTCAGGTATTAGACAGTCGGCGATATACTGCGCTCCTGCGAGAAATCCTTCGCAGTTATAAGTGCCCAGAGTCAGGCTCATGTTCAGAGTTACTTTTGCGTCCACAGAATTACGACACTCCGCTCTGTCATGCTTCACAGCGGTGGCAGCAGGACAGGGATGGTCCCCAGGAGTAGCCATCTGGACACTATTCCCAGTAGGTGGCCTCTCGTGCGTGCTGATTATGCCACCCACGGTATTCGGATCCGTCACGTTGCGAAGCAGCCGCCCTCCAGCCGTTGCCACCGTGTGTGGCGCCTCCTCTGACGTGACGGGAGGCAGCTGGCACCCAGGGAGCGCTGGCGTCCTGTTCGCTGCCTCGACTAGGGGCGCCTGGGCGGTGTGAGGCGGCTGTTGTCCAGTGTCCGTCTCCATCACGGCGCTGATAGGTTGACACCCATGCATTGTCATCTTGGTGTCCATGGTATCTACCTGGCACGAATGGTCCGTAACGGCGCGGCATTTCCTCTTCCCAGCCACCGTCACCATGTGTGGCGTTACTTCCGTCGCCGCCGACAGCGTCGACCGCGCTAGATGTACCGACGCCGTGAGTGCAGTCTCTGTTCGGGGCGCTGGAGCGCTGTGAGGTGACTGCTTCCCGGCGGGTCTCATCTTCGTCCCGGCGTTGGGCGGCCGCCGTCCAGGCAGAGTCACAGTGTTCAATGCCTCTGACCACATCACTGTAACGGCGCGGGGCCGTCGCCTGCCAGTTAGCATTGCCATGTTCAGTTCTTTTTGCAGCACTCCGGGTCGTCTGTGATCTTCCAGATGAGGCCGCAGGACGGCGAAAACGCTGTCCTCGGCGCCCAGTGTTCACAGGGCGAGGTAGAAGGCGCACAACCAGGCCAGTCGGCCAGCTGGACGGGTCCAATATACGATCGGTGTCCTCAGCATCAACCTCAATCTTGAACGCCTTGCTTACAGAGGCAGCAGGACCGCGGCGTGACACCCTTTGGAAATCATGGAGATTGCGAACAACCGTCCAGACCAGATTCCGCACGTCACTGTCAGCAACATCCACACGGAAGCCCTCCAGGATGAACTTCTCCTTCCGAGATTCTTGACGAGGCGGCTCCTGAATCAGAGCCGATGGGGGACCAGAGCCGGTCACCATGCCCTGTCGCCGCGTCGGGCCGCCTGGAGCCGCGGCAGGCGTGTCGCTGGTCGGTGCCGCAGTCGGCACTGCTGCTTGACTGTGGTTCGCGGGCTGCACTGTCCTACGCTCAGACACGGTATGCGTGTTCTGCTGCTCTGGCTCACTGTCTGAATCGCCGACCCGCCAATGCAGGGCACCAGCGATCGCCTCACCCAGGGCACGCAGATCCAAGTTGGCGGCAATCTCGCGGGCGGCGGTGCGGTCAGAGTGAGCCTCTTCAGTTGCAGCAGTAGCATCATTAGCAGCGGGCCTCGCATCGCTGTCATGTCGCCCCGGCTGCACCTGTAATCCAGGGGTGACTGGCCGGCGTGGCTGTGGGCCCTCACGGGCTAGCAGTCCCTCCACAAGGACTGCTAGCCCGTGAGATGTAGACCTTTTATCGGGTCTGTGATACTCATCTTTTGTTCTTTCTCCGGTCGTTCCGCAGCCATTCAGATTCTTGATTTGCTCAGCAATAAAAAACAAAAGAAGGTTCCTTGATCATATTGATAATAATATTCAATTCCAAGTTCAAGTTCCAAATTTCAATAACCGTCGGTATCCAGCGAGATCGATCAAGTTCAGTTCAGAAATCAGAAGACAATGAAAGATTAAGAGTAGTAGCGTGATACAGACACTGCCGGATGGAAACAGTCCGGCCTGATAGGTGATAATAGCGAGAATCGCGAGAACGTAGGAAATTACAGAAGAGAGACACAAAACAGCCAGCCTCAGCCCAAGCTCCAAAGTTCCAGTTTCTGTTTTCATCACATTCGAAAAACCAGCTGATCAACAATGGAGCACGAGATTTGCGATGCCATTGTTGATCAGCTGTAGCTAGTAGGGCTGCATTTTAAATACACAATAACCAAAAGCACAGATAAAGAAAATGACATTACAAAATCGAATAAAACGAACAATTCATTTAACAGAAATGCCTTACGGAGCGCAGAAGTCAAATATGTTTACGATTTAAATAAGGAGGCGAGACGAGACGAGACGAGACGAGACTGTATGCTGCACTAATAATTTGTCGTAGTCAATGTTTTATGAAAGTTGGCGCTCTATAAATAACACTGGGAGCAAGCGGTAAATATTCATGCTGTGTGCCCACCTTTTTCTTTTGGTTTTCTGTGTTGTTCATGTGCACGTTTTAAGAAGTTTATTGTTCATTGTTCAAGAATGATATATTCTCGTCTCCCCAGCGCCGAGAACATTATGGCCAAGCGGCGAGCGCAGAAGCTGTTCGTGAACCGCCAGCAGCTGCTCTCAGTGAAAGGCATCGGACCGAAGAGCTTCGAGCAGTGCGCCGGATTCGTCCGAGTGCTGCCCGCCACAGCTGCCAAGGCCGGAAAGGTGGGAAGGAAGGAGACGAGGGGATGGTAAAGGATAGGCGGAAGGATGGGGAAGGAAATGGGACGGAGACATGGGAAGTAAGGTTGGATAGATAGAAAGGGAGGAAGGGGACCAGGGAGATGGGAAAGGAAAAGATGTGGGAAGGGAACTAGATGAAGGGATGGGGAAGAGAGCTGGCAATCGTGGAACGAATGGATTTGGTTTCTTGCTACCGTTCTCGAATGACGCAATGTTGTTTAGTCTCACTCTCATCTGATGTGGAGTATTTCAGTACCTATATGCTTCTGGACCGGAAATGAATGTCAGGGATATTGTGGCGAAGTCTGGACGTCATATATTCTGTAAGAGTCTGGAGGCCATTAGTTGTAAGACCTGGAAAGCATGGTTAGTCTGGTTTTGACTAATACGCATCTGACAGACCCCCACCCACCTCTGTCGCAGAAGAGTGGCATCACCCCGAAAAAGGGCAGCAAGGCGGCCTCCACGGCGCCGGAGCCGCTGGACCAGACGGTCATCCACCCGGAGAGTTACCCGGTGGCCAACCGGCTGCTCCAGGTACGGGATTATTTTACGTGTACCTACGGTGAAAACGGATAAAATATCATGCCGGCAAAAAAGATGGCACGCTAATCGTAATGAGTGTGTCCAGTGTGTGAACTGCTGGTGTGAATGGTTACCAACTTGCGCTCTTGGTAGCTGATTGGTTCTCTGTTCTGATCTCTGATTGGTCCACTATAACTAAGTACTTTATCCAATGCCGGCAGCTGATTGGCTGTCCGTCGTCGGCGGTGGGCAGCCCGGATCTGGTGAGCCGCCTGACGGAGTTCTGCGCCGCCCGGAGTCGGCCTCAGCTGGCCGAGCAGCTGGAGACCGATATACACACACTGGAGCTGATCATCAGGGCACTGTCAGAGCCAGGGTCAGTGAGAATCATGATAGGTAGCTGGCAGCTGATCAGCTGTCCAGCTTTCACTACTGCCGGCTGCCAGGTCAGGTGCAGCCCATCTCAAGATCTGTGATAGTTCCCGTTACCAAATGTTCTGGCATTTGCGATATGTGTCATCATAGACCACTATATATCTATGGTATATAGTCGTGGTCTATGGTGTCATAAAGAAGTCGTGTGATCTAACAAACCCGGTGTTAATCTGGCCGAGCATTATTATGTCATCTGTTAGACCTGACGCAGCTGACATCTTTTTGACCCGATGGATGCGCTATTGCCATTGTCCAGTGCTGCATGCATCGTAACGTACCTACGTTTAACCCCACGCCACGTCCTCCCGTCGCTGTCTTGCTCTTCTGACCATAGCACCCTCCTCTGTCCTTTATTCAGGTACGACGAGCGTCAGGAGCTGGCGGCGCCCATGTTCTGGAAGGCGGCCATGCGCGCGGGCGACCTGCGGCCCGGCGCCCGGCTCCGCGGCGTGGTGCGGAACCCCACTGAGTTCGGCGCCTTCGTCGACCTCGGTGAGATTGCGGAGGGTATAGTAAGAAGACGGTCTAGGCGAATAGTACAGGAAAATGAGCAAGTCACTTGGCTTTGAGAGCGCAAAATGACCGTGGTAGTCGAGGCACCCTAAAGCCCCAATAAACAACAAATAATTCTTACCACTGAAGTGGTGCGCCTTGTTTTAGTGTATTGCTACTGCTATTCTTTTTCCGATTTCACAGCCGTGCCCGTCATGATGATTGTCACCACGGCGGCTGCCACCGTTTTCAAAAATGAATGCCGCTTTCTTCGTGCATATCTGCGCTGTTTGCGTACTGCCTGCACCGCGCTGGTCCCTATTTATTTCTGCACCGATCCACCCCCTGGCACCCCCTGGAGTGCGCGTCGGTGCTCTGACTGACCAGTGACCGCGTGACACCCACACAGGTATTGGCGAGTCGGGCCTGATCCACCACTCCCAGATGCGCTCCGTCGAGCTGCGAGTCAACGACCACGTGGAGGTGGAGGTTATCAAAGTCGAGCAAAAGCCCAAAAAGACCGACATCGGCCTCAGACTGCTGCACAAGATCGAGGGGAAGCAGCTGAAGCGGGGCTGACTTAGGCTGTGATTCTCAGGCAAACTGTGATTCTCAGGCAGTGAGGGGGAGTGTTTGTCTGCTGTTTACAGTTGTGACGTGTGAATTGTGAGTTTTCCGCAGTGGGGTGCGGATTATGAAGCTGTTGCGATTTCTCGACCAGTGGGCGATTTTTGTTCCGCCGTTATTTTTGCACTCAAAATGTGTCCAGAATATAGAGACATGCTGTTAAGCTTTTTTGTGTAACTCCCAGACGAGGGATTTCTGAATAAAATGGCACTCTTGCAACAGCACACCAGCCAATACAAGGAGGACCAGTTGATTTAATCTGAGTAATTGTATTCATACAGAAATCAAATCACGATACATAATCAACAAAATACGGGAGCCAAATTAACAATAAGAATAATTGCCCACACACGGTTCCTATCGTAATTTTCTACCTACAAGGATCACATGCACCGCACCCATCCCCAAGACAGGACATCACAATAGCATACGCACATAATATAATGACAAACACAATCATGCCATAATCATAACGTGCCTCTCACACTCGAGGTGCCAGACTCATTCCACCTGTTCTCTCGTCTCCATCGCTTCAGTCTCGGTTCGGGCTCAATAATCGCTCCTCTGCCAGTCCAGTGTCCACCGATCTGGCGGGTATATTTGTTCGGGAGGATCGAATCGCCCGCCGTCACTGCCAGTCTGGCTCGCTGATGGCCGAGCCCGCCGACCGGTTCGACCAACCATCCTGACGTGACAATTAGCGAACCAGCAGATGACACACACAGACATAAACCAGCTGCACATATCGATATATCTTGAAATACCGACTCGAATGACAACAAATTGAACATTTACATCACAAACCCCGTGCAAATCATACTCCTACACACACTCATTACTGCTGACTGGGAATCGGCTCCCAGTGATGCCAATTATGGGCCTACGACTGCACTGCTCACACGTCCTGACTGTATCACAGTCCGGCCGCGACCAACAGCCTCACGGCGCCGGCGTACTCCTGTGGACCAGAAATGTTCAGGCACCTGGAGAACTTCGGAGAGTTCAGATTTCTTCCAGGCGACTTGGAGCCTCAAATTTGGAGGGCGGCACTGACGACTTCCAGATGTCGCTGGAGAGATATCCAGTCCATTTCCAAGCGTCGCTGGAACAGCACTCCTAAACGCCGCTTGAGCCAAGAGTGCGAGCCCGACTACTTCTAGACTAGCTAAAAGAAGGTCCGGACTACTTCCAGGCGAGTTGGAGCGCCCGTCGCTGCGACAGTCGCCGGGTGACGGCGGAGGCGGCTATCAGGCCGACCAGCACCAGCACGATGAAGGTGGAGTCAAAGTCGTCCTTCAGCTGGTCGAACATGTTGGACGGGAACACCCGCGTGTGGTACAGGTCTGTCGAGAATGGCGGAGAGGGAGGCTTAATGGTAGGCCTTGAGAAACAGTGGGGTTGGTAGGGCAGCTTCCACTAAATATCAACAGGGCTATCACGACATGACACTAGCTGGGCTGACGTCCTTCTGACGGCTGACGGGCTGATTATGAATAATGAAATAATGCATGAATTGATGTCGGGGTGAACAGTAAGCCAGACTTCCTTGATGCACAGCTCCTCAACCGTTTTATCACGAACTTTCCGGCTTATGAAACATAATGAGCCGTCTCTCTATATCTACACCCCAGAAGGATGAGCTTGCTCAACTCGTGGATACCTCACACTCAAGCTCAGCTACACGGCTGAGCTGACCCCGTTCAGTCGGCGCACTCACCCAGTCCGTGCACAAACACCAGACAGGTGGACTCCAGTCCCGACGGCGAGCTGACGATGCCGCTGACGTGCTGCAGGGTCCGGTTATAGTTGACCACGTTCACCGTGGGCAGCGGAAGCTCGGGAGTGTACGGCGGCAGACCCTCCTCCATGCTGGCCCGACCAGGCGTCAGCGGCCGGCGCGGGTCCAGCAGCGCGCGGTTCAGCGTCACCAGGCTGCCCGAGGTGAGCGCGACTGAAAGGCAGGGGAGGGGAGAGGTCACAGGCGCGGGGAGTGGTGTGTATCGCACAGAGACAGCTGAGCATATAGGTACCTTCCAAAGGATCTGGGACAGAACACGCTGTCGCGAAATTCAAGCTAAACCCATGAGAGTTGCCGACGATTTTTGTCGAAATAACTTACAACGCATTATAAGCGGTGGATTAGAATGATAGCACAGAACGTTGTTTCTTCTAAGAGTGCGATATCTGACTTAAAGTTATTTGAATATTATTTCCAATAAACCAATTTTCCCGGCAGAAAGGCGATTGGAAGACCCGGGGGTCGCCATCGGCCTGCCTATCCCTGCGGTGACTATCGCTTTTCAGCGAAAACAAATATAGACAGCGCCCCGCCGCAATGCTTACACATGATGAATTTGGTGGTGATGCCCTTCTCGGTGATGGTCTCCCTCATGGCCTCGATCTGCGTGGGGAAGATGAACGTCTGTTTCTCCACCATCGGCTGCGGCGGCGCCTCCAGCGACGAGAAGGCTGTAATAGATATCACGGGGTCAGTGGTAGGCTGGGACAGACGGGCCAGCGGAACGCAACCACCACCAGGGTAGGAATGGCAGTGGCAACAGCACTGTGGTGAACCAGCGAGACGTCTTATTTTGGGCAGCTTGTGGAAACAGGCAATTAAAGTTATGGAAGAACATAGGCGCATCCCTAGAACTAATCCAACGAGCAGATAGATTCGATCAAGAATTGAATGCGTATAAAACAATGTTTCACATTACGTAGACAGACGCAAACTTACATTTGCAACACCATTGATACTATGTGCAGTCCTGCCGGTCTCACTCACCTGACGCGTTGGCCTGCACCTTGCCCTCGAAAAGCTCTATACTGGTAAGCTCTGTGCGCCTCGCCTTCTCGTTGTACACCGAGTAGACGAGCCAGTTCTCCGAGTGCACGGCGTGGCACGGACAGCGCACGCGGCGCTGCACGTGACTGTAGATCAGGTGACCGGTGACGGCGTCCACCAGGTAGGCAGTGGTGCTGTGTTTGTGCACGGGGTCCGGAGCGTCGGCGAGCACCAGCACCAGGTTCGGGTTGCTGTACTTGTAGAGAACGCTCCGGTCCGCCAGCACTCGGCCCTGGCTATGCACCCGCTCGTGGGGTGATTTGGCCAGCACCCGGCGGATGGTCTGTCCCTGGGAGCCGAGGTCCAGCCGCCAGCTGGGAACCGTCTCCAGAGCCTGCCGGGGCGGGGGAGGAAGTCAGACGGAGGTAGAATGGGATGAAATGGTGGTCAGATAGGTCACATCATGGTCACATCACAGTCTGGCGGGATCATTCCACACCACAACGAGGTCATGTAAGAATTAGGTACACAACGTTTGGTGTTGGCCTGAGAAGTTAATGCGAGGGCCGTACTCGGACACAAATGAATCAGCTGAGAGCTGTTATCAATGTCTTCAGTAACTCAAGAGCCATTTAGACAGCTTTACTAAGTGACAGCAATCAAACCAGAAGCTCAGCTTAACACGCATTCAGACACTGGCATCAGCTGTTCAGCTGATGTCTCTGTCGTAATAAGGCCGGTGAACCACCACCTCTCCTTCCACTCCCTCCCACTCTCCCCACCTGGTTGACGGCGGATCCCTGAGCGGTACTGCTCTTCACATCCACGGTGTAGAAGAATAGTTTGCTGTGGAGGGACTTGGCCAGCGACTCGGCGCTCTCGGGCCACACGTGCACGGCGCCGGCCGAGTCCAGGATCAGCAGAGGCTGGCGGCAGCGAGAGAGACGGGCGGTCAGGACAGAAACACATCTGAGGCTCAGCGGTCGGAACATGAATCTAACCCCTGACCGACGGTAAAGACATAAACCTAGTCTCGGTCCATCACTTTGAATACAAACCTATCCTAAATCTAGCGATCAGAGCAAAAGTCAGCCCCCTTGTCCATCACTCAGGACGCCATCCCAGCCTCAGCTCAGCGACAGAATGATCAGAACACAATACCACCTACGGCTTGTCACCCAGGACACAAGCCCACTCCAGTCTCCAGGCGCAGTGGTAAGAACACAAGTCCACCGCCCGCACACACAGGAAATAGCAGGTGCAACGTAACAACATTATTATCACATTGTGACGGCCGGAGAAATCCGCCGACACCAGCGGCACATGTATACGATACAGGAAACTTCCCGAAAAGATATGTAAATTTTCCCGGAAGAGTGCTGATCGGGCAGCTTTGGCTGATGATCACATCAGCAGCCAACGGGTGACGGTGGCGGCAGCTCGCAGGTTTCCTCGTCATTTGACCAGCGGGCTCAGCATATGGCACAGAGGGTGGGGAGAACACACACAGTGAACTCGGATAAACCAGTCGGAGAGACTACAATGAACTGGGACAAACCAGAAACAGAGCGCATCATACACTGCACTGACACATTAAAGACGGATAAAAATCACATGAGCTGGTACTGCAGAGTAAAAGAATATAATACAGTGATTTGGTACAGAGTATCTAGATAAAACGCTCCATGCACTTGTATAATGCCGATAAATTGATATTTCGATAATATCCGTAACTTCCATCTTTAAAGGGGTTTCTCCCGGGCATCATACTCCTCGTTACAATTACCTTGAGATGAGTGTTGTTGGTGTTTCTCCTACCTTGAGATACGTGTTCTTCCTCCTACCTTGAGGTGTGTACTGTCGGCGTTTCCCCTCACCTTGAGATGGGTGTTGTCGGCGTGCGGCAGCAGGCTGGCCTGGGTCGGCTCGTAGGGCAGCTGGTGCGCCTGCAGGTCTCCGCCGGTGATGGGGTTGAAGGTGACCAGCAGCCGGCCACTGAGCAGCACCGCCACCGGCGGGTGGGGGAAGTGGGCCGTGCCGCGCTGTAAGCCGAGCACCACCGAGTCGGCGGCGGGCGGCGGCGAGAGACCGGCCACCGGCACCGCCCAAAGCACCGAGCCCGTCTCACTGTGCACCCCCAGCACCTGAGAACGAGAGACAGACAGACATCAGACATAGAACACAGAACCGAGCCCGTCTCACTGTGTACCCCCCAGCACCTGAGAATAGACAGGGAGACGTCAGACATAGAACACAGCACCGAGCCCGTCTCACTGTGTACCCCCGCACCTGAGAATAGACAGAGACAGAGAGACATCAGTCTCTCAGACATAGAACACAGCACCGAGCCCGTCTCACTGTGTACCCCAGCACCTGAGAACGAGAGATAGAGACATATATATCAGGACATAGTTCGCATAGACACTACGTGATGGCACAACGCCAGATCGTGAGATCCACCAGCTGAGAAAGGTAAAGACACACAAGCACGGCGATACACGGCAGTTGAGGACACGAAGACAGTTAGATCCAACAGCTAACAAAAATGGTCCCAAGAACTAGCACTTGAAAGCAGAGACCGTGTGGTCCTTATGCTGAAATATGTGACGTGGAATTCGGTCAGATCCAGCTGCGGAAAACACGAATACGGAAACTAAAGCTCCACCTTAGGACACACAGGGGATGCCTAGTAACAGACAACTCACATGAATGCAAATCAGAGATCATACACGGTCCGACCCCTCACCTTGCAGCCCACAGAAACTGACATTGCAGACCCGCGCGCACACATGGGTGACGCCGGTCCCGCTCAGACCGGATGGTGCTGATTTCATAGAAAAGTCGCCCACATTACGTGATCGGCGTCGTTGTCAAGCGCCGCCGGCCAGCCCTTCTGGTTAAACCCGCACGCGATTCAGTGCACGACATTACAACATTACCACCGGTCGACTCCGAGCTCGGAACAGGAAATACTGACGGCTCAAAAACGCCGAAGTCGTGACAGCCAGACGCCAGCGGCTATTGTGTGATGGCTGTGGGCCATCCCCCAGCGGGCCTGCCCAATCCGGGGTGACTAAAAAATACGGCATTGGTCGCAGTGTCAAGCGTGATAATGATATAACAAGCCGTTCTTCCTGTATTGCTAATTACATTGCGAGCAAAATAGCAGGGGTAGTTTTCTGAGGCCACGTGCGCTTTACGTGAGAACATGTCAAAGTTTGATAAAAGAAAGGTAGTAGAGAAAACCTCTAACAAATCATGTCGAAAACTCCTCTAACCTTCCTACATTAAAGCCGGACATGGTTCAGAGTGCAGATCGAACTACGCCAATGCTCCTAGCCAAACTTATCTCGTGCAATCCATAACTCGTCCACTATCGCCCGCCGAACAGGCGGCGAGTGACCGTCAGAGGGCGGCGGCGGGTGGCGGTCACGCCATCCTTCCGGACCATGACATCAGTTGGGCCCGGCGTCAGCGGGACCGCAGCACGCCACCGCGCCGGTATGCGTCAGGGTGGGTGTCCGCTGACACAACTCACCTCACGGCGCCGCACCATTAAAGCCGCCCGCCCGCCGCTGACGGGCCAGTGACACCTGAGGCGGCAGAGAGGACAGACAGGACGGGGCGGAGCGAGGCGAGGAGAAACGACAAAGAGCTGAGTCGAGGAGAGGAGTGCGCTGCTACAGAACATCGTCCAAGAGTCTCGGACGACCGTTCGGCCGTCAGAAAAGGACAGGACAGACACCAGCAGCACTCTTGAGTGATTCTCCCTCCCTCGCCAGCCATGTCGGACTCCAAGACGCCGGGCGGCTGCGGCTGCTTCAACTCTCGCCAGGCGAGTCTGGTGATCAGCTTGACACTGCTGCTGTTGTACGGGCTGGCCGCCCTGGCGCTGCTGGTCGACCTCGGCACCAACCAGCTGCAGCTGGTCGGCGGACGCAGCGACATGGAGGCTAGCGAGGTGGTGGCGCTGGGCGCGCTGCTGGCCAGCCTGGCCGGCGCCGCGCTGCTGGCTCGAGCCGTCACCTCCGACGCGCCGCGGCTGCTGCTCTGCTGGCTGGCCTGGCACGGCACCTGCTGGGTGCTGGCCGCGCTCACTGCCATCGCCGTGGCCGTGACGGGCGCGCTGAGAGAAACCGCCTCGCCGATGGTGATCGGCATCAGCGCGGCGGTCCACGCGGTGTCGCTGGCCCTGCTGGCCTACTGCGGGGTCGTGGTGCTGCGGTACTACCGACTGCTGACCGCCAACGCTGACGCGCAGAAGGAGAAGGAGGCGGAGGCGGGCCAGGTGAAACCGCCCATCACCGTCAGTCCGCCGGTCTGAACAGATTGTCCCAGATCTGAGCCAAATGTCATCGGTTTGAAAACACCTGCCGCCAGTCTGAGAAGCCCGCCATCGGTCTGAAGTCTGACCGGACTGCCGCCGGTCTGAGCACCGTCGACAGCCGGCCTGCGGTTCGACACGTGAGGCGGCAGATCTCACTGATCATCCAGGTAGCCCGGGCTCTCCAGGCAGCCCGGGCTCTTCAGGTAGCTCCCCGCAACTGCAGCTCCGAGCTCGAGCTTCAGGAAACTCCCGCCGCCAGCCAGCCGGACCGACCGCGCCGGGAATTCATGACCGCCTTTCGGTGCATGCTTCGACCGCAAGGCACGAGAACAATGCCAGAACCAAAGTCCCCTGAACCTGACAGACAATAGCACTGAACTGAAAAATTGGCCACAATTCACGAGCGTCCCCGTGCTTTCCGCATGTTTTTGAGTTGTAACTACGTTACTACAGAACACATTTTGCAAAGCGTGTCTTGTATTTCGACGATAAAAGTTTAGATACTGTACAGCGTATCAGTTTCCAGCCGTCCATTTAGGGGTAAATAGTCAAACCCCGGTGCACTCCTGAATTTAATGTCAGCTAGACCAGCCAGACGTTATATGTTGATGTGTGAAGAGTAAATGCACTAACGTATTATTTTATGGCATTATAAGATGTTGTGTGTACATAACATGTCTTGTTTATCAGCATGCATATTGCGTGCACTGCAAGTGAGAAGTGCAATCACTGTAAATTAATAAAAATACATCTTAAAAATGTCGTCTAGAAAGAGTTAGCAGAGCTCATAGTCACATGAGGAATTTGGTTCTTCACGCTAGCGCGTGGCATGAGACTCCTATTGGGGTATCGTAGCCCTGTGCCCCACCAACTTCAGTTTGAGACCTATCGGAGAAGCACCCTGCCGATGTGCTCAGATTTTTCAGAATTGACTCGCTGTGAGTACGACTGTTTTGGTTTTGGTCCATTTAGCAATGAGAGGGCCTAAATCAAATTAACCATGATGAAATACCCTTATATGTAGGGCAGCCACTGTGAACCGTTTTGCTGGATAAATACATCTTCAGACAAACTGAACAAAATAAATCCAGAAACACCGTATACTACGAATAATTGGTGGCGAATCCGGTTCCTCCCAAAGTTGGCATAAATGTTTCACACATTTCCATTTACCTACGGCTATGCTACCAGCACACCACGACCGTCGGGCGTCGCATGTAACACAAATGCACCCAGCGATAAATACCTGATGGCGGGGACGCATGAACTACTCTGCTCTGAACTTGTAATTGTTCTGGGTATAATATCCGGGCAGGTGTCTAGAGCCGGCCCGAGGGACACTGTCCGGCGGGGAACCGTCTGGAAAACCCGGTCCAGGGGAACACGATCCGGGGCCACGTTGGACGGAGCCCACAGGGACACGGTCTGGTGATGGCACACGATCGCAGCAGGGATAGAAAACACCGCTCATTGCTGATAAGCACGCTAACGTCCAACTTTAATTGAGGGCTTCAAAAAGCATGTTAAAAATGTTTTAAAAAAGTTAACCATCAGCTCCTAATTGGCTAGCACGCACGCACAGCGCAAGAACATACAGTTGCACGTCAAAAGAATCGGGCATGGCTTAACAGGGCCTCAGGTGGTCAAAAACCTCTGGTTTGTGACTCCAGTTTTGGACTGTGACTGTGGTTTTTACTCTAGCGACAGCGTTGAATTCCCCATCGCTCCATGCCTTCTTCTGGAGACTCGTTAGGCATGTCGAGTCTACTCCAAGACGACATTGTTCGAGCGGGCGCACGAACACGCTAGGCATGGACTTTCTTGGACCAGCCCGTTGCATTGGGGCATTTCTAGTATAACTGTCCGATGGCAAATATCACAGGGGATCATCTATACCTACTAGCATCGATTACATAATTGGTCAGGAACACGCAGGGAATTTGAACCGCGTGGATATTAAACTGGTTGAGTGGAAACTCCCAAACGATACGATCTTGTTCGGCACACCGCTCAATACCCCCGGCCACCCCCTAACGCTCGCTGCCCAATGCAACCAGCCGCAAGCACCGCAACAGGTGTCCCCATGAGTCTAACGGGTTTTGACTGAGTCACTATTCACTCCCTTCCCTCATTAGTTCCAAATTCCTAACCGACTCATATGTATCACTCAATTTAAAAGCAGATAAAAGGTGACAGAGCAGGACATGACCATGGTAATGTCCTTCTTATCCGTATCCGCTTATCCATATTGGGGACTGATCGGTCAGTGCACTGACCGATCAGTCCTCAATACGGTAAGCCTGGAGAGTCCAACAGGAGACGCCAATAGGAGATAGTCGAGAAAGATTACGAAGTTCGGTGTCTTTGCGAGTATCTAAGATAGTAATAGTGGCGAACGGAGCTCCCTAGCGTCGCTGCGGCGTCTTGTGGGCTGGCAGACAGCCTGTGTCGCCACAGAGCTCCATATTGATCGGAACATGATATCGGTATGGCCGCCATTATCCGCATCAAACCGTATCTGCCAACGAAAGAATTGGTAACAACGCCACATATAATGGAGTTGGGGGAGAGCAGCTGCTGGCAACTGTGTCCTCCAGACTCCAGAGTCCTCTGAAGATTCAAGGTCGTCAAACATCTCGAAAACAAACCCCATCGTTTTCTGCAATAAGGAAACAATACATTGTGGCACAAGAGATGGCGTGTGATGCTATCTGGGGACCGAATTGGCACGCAATGTGGCCAATGTATCGGCACACAATGCGGAACGCAATGGGGTCCACAACTGACCGCAATGTCACGCTGTGACCAAGGCCATAT